GCGTGCTCCACTGTGCCCAGCTATAAGTTTCTTATAGATGATTCTTTCAGTGTTTACTTTGGGTATAAGTGTTTTGTCTTTCCTAGACAAACAAAGCATCCTGTCTCCTGTACACTTAGGTCTTAGCTCCAGAGGCAGAGTAACTTGAACATTCCAAAAACAAAAATGAAAAAAACCCTCTTTTTTCTTATTATGTCCCTTGTACCTAAGTCAGTGCAGTAGGCATTACATAGTGTTTAATGGTGGCTAGTGGAAATACATGGCAAGCTGATCCCTGTACTTAGTGTGTGCTGTACACCACACACCACAGAGAACCCTTGAGTGAACATTGATTAGCACATCTGATCTCCTCCTCCAACACCAAGTCAGGTGGCCTTGATTCCTGCTGTCTGGCTTTCTGCCAGAGCACATTACAGCACAGCCAGTCAGGCTGACCCTAAGATATCAGACTTCGAAAGTAGTACAAGTATCAGCTGTTTCCTCCACTAACAGATGGCAAAGTGCTGTTCTGAAGGCCAAAAGTTTTTCTAACTCAGCTACTTTCCTCTTTCCCAAGGCTTCACTGTAAACAAATTCTGCGTTAGCTGAGCAAACTTTAAAAAGCATGAAAAAATAACATAGGGCAAAAATCAATGAAATAAATAACAGTGGGAACAATAACATGAACAAGAAAAAAGATTGATACTTCATCTCCCTTTCTTTTTTGATAACCATAAGTTCTTTTTCTTTTTTCGAATTATTCCTAGTAATTGCAAATACCCTGGACAAGAATGGGGATTTTCTTTCTTTTCTTTATATCACATTTCCATGATATCAGGGTAGTCAGTGTGCTGTGTACACTGTATGAGGGATCAATAATCATTTAGTGAGGGAACCAGGCTTTTTGGTGAAATCATTGCCAAGTATTTCTCCAAGCAGTTAGATAGTGTTTGCTTACTTGGGATCATGTTCACAGCAGTTATTTTAAACACCACTTTGGAGCTCAATGCTGTGCACAGAGCATTGAGTATTTACAGTATCTCTGGTATTACCTAAGAGAAATTGACTCGGATAACTTCATAACTGCCATATATATGTTATTATTAATTTAAAAATGGTTGCTGCCTGAATTTTAAGATTTGATTCTAGAAGGAATTGTTTTATTTTGTATTACAGGTTTATTGAATTCACAAATGGGATTTAACTAAGATTATTTTAAATAGTAATCTCCTTTATATAATTTAAGTGATTACCAAACATTCTCATGTATTTGATATAGGGAAACTTCAAAATGATTAGGAATAATAGCCAAATTTAAGCGAGACTAAATTAATCAGAAATAAAGCTGAAACATCTCAAAATATAGATTAGTAAGTGATAGCATTCAATTTTTAAAACTGACTTAAGTGTGACTTTACGTGAAATTATAAAATGCATCAGATTAGTTATATTTGGCACATTAAAAAGTTATCTAAATATTTGTTGAAAATAAGATTTAGGACAACCCCTCTCAGGTCTCCTCTCACCTTATGGGAGCTTTGTGTCATTTCTTCTCACTTGGATAAATCCTACTCTTAAAAAATAAATAAATATTCAGAGCATTCAGATATACTGCAGCATTTTTCAAATCCTCTTATTTTTAAGGTAATTCTTACTTTGTAGATCACAAGAGTTAATTAAGCAGTTTATAAATTTTACCAAGTTAAAACCAAGAAGTATATCACTAGGACTGGGAGTATAGCTCTCTGGTAGACTGCTTGCCTAGAAGGCTCAAGGCCCTAAGTACAATCCCCTCACTGCGAAAGAAAGAGAGAGAGAGAGAGAGAGAGAGAGAGAGAGAGGGAGGGAGGGGGGGAGGGAGGGAGAAGTAGAGAGGGAGGGAGGGAGGAAGGGAGAAAATGTATTACTATAAAGAGATATGAAATATATATAGTTCATTCTTTTCTAAGCTAAATATAGTTGTTATCTTAGTCAGTTTGGGCTGCTATAACAAGTGCCATAGATGGAGTGGCTTATAAACATCAGAAATTCATTTTTCACAGTTGCAGAAGCTAGAGGTCAGAGACAAGGGTGCCATCACATGATGGAAAGGAGCTTAAAGAGGTCTCTGGAGTCTCTCTTATAAAGGCATTAATCCCGTTTGTGAGGGATTTACTTTCACAATTACTTCCCAAAGACCCCACCTGCAAATATTATCACAATGAAGGTTAATTTTCAGCATATTAATTTGGTGGTGGGAGGAGGGTCATGAGCTCTCAATCTCTAACGTTCATTTATTCAAAAATCATAATGTGGCCTGGCACAGTGGCACATGCCTGTAATCCTAGCAGCTTTGGGAGGCTGAGGCAGGAGAATTGCAAGTTTGAATACAGCCTCAGCAATGGTGAGGCGCTAGGTAACTCAGTGAGACCCTGTCTCTAAATAAAATACAAAATAGGGCTGGGGATGTGGCTCAGTGGCCAAGTGCCCCTGACTTCAATCCCTAGTGCCAAAAAAAAAAATTATAGTGTGAGCATCTTATATTCTTAGACACTTAAGTAATACTGTTATCTAATATTAGAATCTTATGAAGAAAATAGGGTCATGCAAGACACTTATTGAACAGCATTTAGGGTTTGTGTATATCATGTACAGTAATTTGTCCATTGTGTAATTAAAATCTGGTTATGCCATGTCCCACTCTGCAGGGCAAGAAGAGTATGAGCACCCAACTCTTCCTTCCAGACCCTATTCTGGGAATACAATGCCATACATGTTATTTTTTAAAAAAATCTTTAAAAATTTGTACTAATTTGTTATACATGACAGTAGAGTGCACTTTGATACATCATATATAAATGGAGCATAATTTCTCATTCTTCTGATTATACATAATGTAGAATCCCACCAGTCATATGGTTATATATGTACATACGGGGTAATGTCTTATTCATTCTACTATCCTTTCTACTCCCATACCCTCTCCCCTTGCTTCACTCCCCTTTACTTAATCTAAAGTAACTCTAATTTTCCTTAGCCCTACCCCGTTATTGTGAATTAGCATCCACATATCAGATAAAACAATCGCCCTTTGGTTTTTTTTGGGTTGGCTTACTTCACTTAGTGTGATATTCTCCAGCTCCATCCAGTTATCAGCAAATGCTATAATTTCATTCTTCTTTAAGGCTGAGTAATATTCCATTATATATATATATATCTTATATATATGTATAATATATATATATATATGTGTGTGTGTGTGTGTGTGTATGTGTGTGTGTGTATTATATCACATGTCTTTTATAATCCATTCAACTGTTGAAGAGCACCTAGGTTATTTCCATAGTGCCATATACCTTTTTTGGGAGGGCAGTACCAGGGATTGAACTTAGGGGCATTCAACCACTGAGCTATATCCCAGCCCTATTTTGTATTTTATTTAGAGACAGGATCTCAGTGAGTTGCTTAGTGCCTCGCTTTTGCCAAGGTTTTTGAACTCGCGATCCTCCTGCCTTAGCCTCCCAAGCTGCTGGGATTACAAGTGTGTGCCACTGTGCCCGGCCATAGTGCCATATACATATTCTTAAGTTTGGCAAGGAGTGGTTATAGGGGGATGGATGGGAGACCTGGAATGACTACTCTGTGTGTGTGTGTGTGTGTGTGTGTGTACATGTGCATATGGACATGTGTGTGCACATGCAGTATCAGTGGGGAAGAGAGCTCAGATTGGAAATGAGCTCAGTCAAGAACACTATACAGACAATGAATTTTAGAACTAATGAATGAATTAAAAACTAATAAAAAGAAAGTGGCTTTCCCCTTTCATGAGGTTCCAATCTTATGGGAGATGTAGATACTTTAATATAAAAAGATAAGCCATCAACTAAAGACAATATAGGGTGTTATTAACAGCTAGCACTTGTTGTCTCTAGTGTTACAAACACATTAAGTGTATTTTCTTATTAAATCCTCACAGAAGCCCTAGGGGATTGGTGCTATTTTTCCTATTTTAAAATTAGGAAATTGAGGCTTAAGTCAATTATGAGGTCAAAGACAATTACCAAAATTTCAGTTTAAAGATCTAATCACAAATCTATTTGTGATTTTATAGTCAGTCAGCACCTCATTCTAGAAAGTAGAACGAGTATTCTGCTGAGCTGAGCGGAGGAGGAGGTTGGCTTTATAGGCAGAAAAGGACTAAGAAAGTAGAAACAGAGAACAAAGAGGGTCAAAGTAGAGGGGACTTCCTCTTCATGCTGAATCAGGTTGAGTTTGAGTATGTGACACTCAGCACAAGTGACTCCATTCTGGTATCTGACCCGCTGGGGCCTAGTGTAGGAGGCTAGTCCAAAACCATGGCCTCCCTTAAACTTTAACCTTTGTTAAAGAACCACTGGGTGGCAGAGCCAGGGTTGGAATGCCACTTTCTGTATTCTCCAGCTTCTTTGTGTTACATGATAGGAGAAGGTCGTGGTGGAGAGAATGAAGAACCTGAAGGGATGGGATCCGACACTGATGCCGAAAGAAGGGCGGATCCTACTGGGGTGATCCTGGGAAAATCAGAGGAGTATGCGAATTAAAGAAATCGGCATTAAAAATTCTTTGTATCTCTATTTGAGTAGTTTTTTTCTTATAGGATGTTCAGAATGGACAACAAAATGACAATAAGGTTAAAAACCAGAATGAAAAGGTCCTTTCAGTGAAATTATTGGGGCTCCACAAAGGGCAGGCACAATGCTTTCAATATAAAAAGTGCTTCTTGATATGACATTGGGTGGAGTGCAGTTTCCGTAAACAGGAAAGTCTGCTCAAGGATTGCCGTGCTGTCTTTCTTGTAGTCAGTGGGTAATAGCAAGTCAGGTCAAATCACTTCCTCCTCTTACCAAGCATTCCATTTATGCGAAAACACTTGCTTTCCCAATCTTAGTTGCAATTGCTCATCAGGTTCTTTTTGTTCCTTAGTGTTAATTATTCTAAATGTTATATTTATATCCTAAGTGTTAATTAATTCTGTTATATTTAACACTAAATTCTACCCACAGGTATCCCCAAGAGAGCAGCACACCATCCAAGGACTCAACTCTGTGTTCACCTTCAGACCCCAAGAAGCTGTTCCTTCATGGCCAAGGTGCCTTTCGACCCTTACCTGTGCCCCCCAGGGGGAGCTGTCAGTTCACACCAGCTACTGGCAAGGCTGTTGGCTTGACATCTTGTACAAGGAACCCAAAAGAACCCCAGAGACTTCCGGATCACAAAGACTCTTCAAGTGAATTCCTTTTCAAGTGCCATAGGAACACAAATGCGTTTCATTCAGAAAATTCCCTTCTAGGTTCCCCTTTACAGAGCAATTCAAACCTAGACAAGAAGGAGTTGGAACTTCATTTGTATGTTATTTCCACAACCTCATCAATATTTCTGCACTTAAAAAGTTCATGGAACAATTACATCATAGTAAGTGTCCTCATAAGATAACTTTGACCTCTAACTTCCCTCCCTCCTTTCCTATCCTTTTCCCTCCCTTCCCTTCCCTTCCCTTCCCTTCCCTTCTCTCCCCTTCCCCTTCCTTTCTTCCTTTCTCTCTCTCTCTCTCTCCCCCCACTCCCCCTCTCTTTCCATAAACATGCCTTCCTGGCTCTACCGCCCTATTTTGGAAATTTACCCTAGACTTTAATAATATTTTGAAAGACAGATACACTGAACAAGCCAGGTGTGGTGTTGCACATCTGTAATCCCAGTGACTTGAGAGGCTGAGGCAGGAGATTGCAAATTCAAGGCCAGCCTGAGCAACTTAAAGGTAACTCAGTGGTAGGGCTTCCCTGGGTTCAGCTCCCACCATCTCAAAAACTGCACTGGACAATGAAGGGGATCATTTTATTCATAGGCTGTTGCAGAGGGAGAAATGCTCATTGATGAGGAAAGACTTACAAAAATGGAGAACCTGGGATTTTGTAGACGTAGGTAAGTGAGACAGTCATCAGTGAGTCTCACCAGGTAGCCTTTTGCAGTTATTTGGGGTGACCCAGGTAAAATTTAAAACTGTCACTGTGTTTCTGTATTTATTTTCTGCATTCTTGAAAATAGGTATCATTGTTATAGAATCAAATAATTTTATCTAGAAATCATTAGTCTAAGTCTTGTTTTACAAACCAGGAAAATGAAGCACAAAACTTTTAAGTGATTTACTCAAGATTATAAAGTAACTTTAGGAGAAGAATCAGAACTCCCACTTAGGGCTCTTTTATTTTTATTTATTATTTTTTTAAGAGAGAGGGAGGGAGGGAGGGAGAGAGAGAGAGAGAGAGAGAGAGAGAGAGAGAGAGAGAGAGAGAGAGAGAGAGAGAGAGAGAATCTCTTTTTTTTTTTTTTTTTTTGTAGATGGACACAACACAATGCCTTTATTTTTATGTGGTGCTGAGAATCGATAGGCGAGCGCTCTACCGCTGAGCCACAATCCCAGCCCAGGGCTCTTTTTTAAACATCTGGATTAGTTTAAGAAAACAAGTAACTTATTTAAAAAATGTGATACCTTTAAGTTATCTTCAGTGATAACATTTATTATTGATCTTCCTTTACAATATTAATAAATATAAAAAGCTGTTTTATTCAGAAAAAAACTATGAAGCAAAGGTTTTATAAGAGACTGAAAATTGTGAAAAACTGCAAGATAACTCTAGTTTTTTTCCCTCATAGCAAGATTCAGAAGACTACAAATATTTAAAATTCTCCTCTAAATTTTTAAACAGCTTTGTCCAAATTAAAAATCTAACCAAGTCACAAATAGAGGAAAACCCTGGCCTATTAAAAGAACTCTGTATTCTAATAGAAAAACCAAAACTTAATTGACTTTTTAAAAAAAATCTGAATAAATATTTTAAAACAACTGTTCATGCTTCCCTGAATTGACTAACTTCTGGTTTTAATACTACTTTTTAACTCTGTAGCAGAGGCACAGGTGGGGCAAGTCTGACCAATTCATACCTATAAAGCTATGTATAATCTTTCCAATAATAAATGCAGTAACAATTACTAACATGTATTGTTATCTAGTAGGCTCTGTTCTGGTGATTTATTGAGTCAAAGGCAGAGTTACAAGTTTGGTTATGGATCCCATAGATTTTTATTAGCAATTAATGAATTGGGGGAAGCCTCCATTTTACAAAATATTATGAGAGTTTCCTCTGGGCAATAGCAGAACAGTGGGTTCTGTAAGGTGGGAAAGAGGAAACAGAACAACAGGGAAAAATGATTAATATCAGGTTACTTCAGATTCATTTTTTTGTAAGGTTAAAATAGAGGGAATTTTCTTGTTACATTGACAGGTAAACTAGAATCATTCTGTTTTCAGACAGACTATGTTTTAGGATCTGTCTGTACCTTGAAGTTTCAATTTGAATATACAGCATTTGGCAGGAGTGATTCCAAGATCGGCTGGGTCTTGTGCAGGAGCCCTGTGTGAAACAATGGCCTTCTATATGTTTGTTTAAAAACAGATATTAACCTGTTTAGTCTACACAATAACCCTATGAGGTAGGATGTTATTCCCAAGTTAATAGGTGAGGAAATTGAGGCACAAATAAATTAAGTATGTGCAAGGTCACATAGCTAGTGTGGAACTGAGATTTGAACTCAGATAATTGGATTTTTTTTTCTTTGAAAATGACCAACAAACTCAATTTGGTTGGAGGAGTATTATTTTTATGAGTTGGTATATAGTATCATTTAAAATAATATCCTATCCCTTGAAAGATGAAAAATGAATAAGCAAATATTTTGCATATAAATTATGAATTGGGCTAATATTTATCCTAGTAACATTAAGATAATAATTCAATAGAAACAATATAAAAGTTGTGACTTTTCTGTGACCCTGTTGAATTCTCTCCTCAGATTGGTCACCTTTGGTTAGTCGTGGTGATGTTTTCATAAGTTTTAGGAAATTTTGGGAAAGATCATTTAAACCAGCCAGGCTTTTCTGAGGTAACTGATCTTTTGTGCCTTGAGATCCTGAACGATCTATCATATTGAAGTAGGTAGACATTTTAACTATATACTCTTTCACAGAATTAGTCTAAGTCATCCAATTAGAAATTAGCATTACTCATCTTGGTTTTAAGGGTGTCCAAAGAGTTAGGTCTCCATCAATAGTCCATTTTATTTGTAACTTTTACCAATAATAATTACTTCTGGGTCGTTTAGCATCTCTAATTCTGTAAAGATGAAATATGGTAATTCTTTGCCCTTTATATGTTGTGAAGATAGCTGCTAGAAGGCTAAATGATGAAGCCATACTCCATATTAAATTCTAGATTTAAGGCAAACATCAACATTTAGAATGGAGTAAAGGGAAAGATTTTGTTTTTGATACTAGGAATTGAACCAAGGGGCACTTTACCACTGAGTTACATCCCCAGACCTTTTTTTAAAAATATTTTTTTAGATGTTGATGGACCTTTATTTTATTCATTTATTTATATGCAGTGCTGAGAATAAAACCCAGTGCTTCATACATGCTAAGCAAGCACTCTACCACTGAGCCACAACCCCAGCCCATCCCCAGACCTTTTTATTTTTTATTTTGAGACAGGGTCTTACTAAGTTGCCCATCCTGGCCTTGAACTTGAGATCCTCCTGCAAACTTGAGATTCGCCTGCCTCTGTTCCCCTGAGTAGCTGTAATTGTAGGCAATTTGCCCAAGCCTGGCTTTAGTTTCTTTTTAAAACAGAATAATAATGAAAGCAGTAATAAAAACTAGACCACCATTCACCACCCTGCTCTGCTATTAAGACATAGGTAAGCATGTTTGGAATTGCAAATCAGCAACATTTCAGAATTTCGCTTTTTTTAGTTGGGGGATTGGGGGGCATTTTACCATGAGCCACATCACCCCCTGCCCTTCCCCCCTTTTTTTAACCTTTTAAAGACAGGATTTCACTAAGTTATTTTGGGCCTCACTAAGTTGCTGAGGCTAACTTTGAACGCCCAATCCTACCTCAGCCTCTCAAGCCTCTGGGATTACAGTTGTGTGCCACCGCGCCTGGACTTGGCTCAGAATTCCTTCTGACCTGTCTCTAAAGCCTCAATACAGAGAAAAGATTACTTAGAGAACTTGCTAAACACTATATGTTTGTTTTGAGGACTGAGAATAAATAGGAAATGTTAACACTAAAGCTTTAAGGAAAAATCAACTCCATTAATTTTACAATAGGGGAATAGTTAATAAAATATAAAAGTGTTAGCCATTTCAATAAGGGAAAGGGAACAGTTAAGAGAAATATTGTATATCTATGCTATGGAATACTAGGTAATCATTAAAAATTATATATACAGACATGAAAAACTGTCCATTATATATTAAGTGATTTAAAAATTAGGTCTCAGATTAATACATGTGATATAATTGAGCTAGGATTAAATCTGTCTTATTAAAACATGTCATAATACATGAATACTATAAATGCATATATTACAATATATGTATAGATATATGTATAGATACATATATTATAACATTTATAGTATTTAACATTTATAGCATTTATAGTATTCAATACATATGAAAGAACAAGTCAAACCAAGTATAGTTACTTTGAATAGAATGGAAGGGGTAAGAAGAAACACAACTTTCATCTTTATGTGTTTATGTTCTGTTTGAATTTGATAACTTATTTTATATTGAAAAAATGTAAGATTTAAAACTTTTTTAAAAATTAGATAATGAAAAAATTCCCTGTGGTGTTATAAAATACTGGAATGAATGATATAAACAAATAATAGAAGGGATTATTTGTAGATCCATGATATTGACTAACGGTAGGGGTAATTGTTTTTCAGTAAACAAAAATTCTAACAATTTCTGCTTTTTTTCTCTTTTAGAAAGCTACTCTTTTACAAGATCCCCTGTATGCTAGTGAGCTTAAAAGTCAAAAGCCATACAGGTAAGGAGTGATATATGATAGAACTGCATGGGGATTTTTTTCTGTCTTCCTCAGCTCTCCTAACTATATTGAACATGTGGTTGACTATCATATTTGTACCTCTACTTTGATTATCACTGTTCTGGGCTTCAACAGTACTTTCCTGGCTGGCCTCTTTGTTTTCCCTCTTGCCCCTTTCTAGCTCTTTCTCCATTACAACTGAGAGATCTTCTGAAGCACAAAACTGTTCATGTAACTAATTCATTCCACAAAGTCTTTGAAGGGCTCCCCATTGCCCTTAGGTGAAACTCTAAACTCAAGATTACAAAGATGTTTATAATGTCTCTTTATTTTTCCATCCTCAGCTGTTGTGTACCCCACTTTTTTGCACTAAGTTCCTGGTCCAAATGAACTTCTCACAGTTCTCAGAAAACTCTTTTCTCTTCTCTGGGGGCTTAACATGACAGTCCCTCTTCTGGAATCCTACTCTCATCTCTTCTTCCCCTTTGTGAATAACTTCAATACATCAAGTCTTAGTTTATCTCTTCTTTTCTCCAAAAATCTTTACCAGTCTATGTTATGATTGCTTATTTGGTTATTTACTACCATATATTACAGCATGCTCCTTAAGGGAAGGAACTATACCTTGGTCACTGGCCCATAGTAGGCTGCAATAAGCCTTTATAGAATGAGTGAATAAATGAGACCAGATCATGAAAGACCCTATATGCAAAGCCAAGGAGTCTGGATTTTATTCAGACTTCAAAGTTCTATTACATTCTTATCACAGGTTTGTCTCTTATTGTATTTACTTGTGATATGACCATTTCTTTCATTAGACTGTGAGCTCCTAAAAAGCAAGGAATAAATCTTATTAGCCTAAGTATTCTTACTTAAAATAGTACTTTGCATATAATAAGCACTCAGTGAATTGATGATGTTGACAATTTTGATATTTTGATATGGGTAAGTTTTGAGAGGTTGATGATCAAGTAAATGAGTTAAGAGTAAATTAATTTTAAAAAGATGCATGTTCATTCCTCACCAAAAAGGAACCAAAGTTCTTTAGAGGAATGGCTGCTTCTGGGTCTGGGACAGGAAACAAAAAATGAGTCTGAAACAGCTAATACTAGAAAGCAAAGAGAAAAGGGCCTGGACTAAAAGGATGGAGGAACCCATGTCCTTTTAGTTAGCTAGAGAAGGGACAACTTCCGAAAACATAAGGAATGGAGTGATTGAAACATAATGAATATGTAAAAATTCAGAAATATGTAATGATGTATCTACAGAAAGGGCTCTCTCTCTCTTCCTCCACCAAAAAAATAAAACACATCAAACATGAGGCACTAATCCCTTATACTGTAAAATCAGCAAAGAAACAGAAAGAATTATACTGTATTAAATGTAACCAGTTTGCAATAATCAAGTAACCCTATTTGATAAGGGCAAATTCCCTCTTACAGAATTCCAGTAATGAATGTGGAAGCTTTAACAGAATTAGAAAATTACCATTTTCACAATCTCTAATGAAATAATAGATTCATGCAAAAACCCTCAGTGGATGAAATCATTAGAAGGGTGAAAAGAAGTTCCCAAATACAGAGATCATGTTGTACATGACTAAACCCATCTATTAGTCTGAGCATTCTTTCAGTGGGACTCCCAGACTTGGTGCACCTCATTATTTGATATGATATGAAGCATACAGCACCATCTATGAAGTATTTTTGTTAAGTCAGTTAAACTGGAATCTGACTTAAAAGTGTGGGTGTGCCATCAGTAAAAAGGAATTTTGACACATGCTTGATGTGGCTGAAACTTGAAGACATTATTCTAAGTGAAATATATCAGTAACAAAAGGACAAATATTGTATTAGTCCAGTTATATGAGGTACTTAGAATAGGCAAATTCATAGAGACAGAAAATAGAAAAAGAGTTACCAGGAGCTAGAGGCCAATTAGGAATGCAGTCAGGACAAACTTTCTGTATGGGATGGAAAAAAGTTTTGGAAATTGAAAGTGGTAAGGATTTACACTTTGCATAACTGTGAATGCACATCACCACCACTGAATTTATACCTAAAGGATGAGAATGCTGGTAAATTTATGTTGCATTTATTTTACTCAGTTATTAAAAAGTGTGTATGTAAGGGAATAGATAAAACAAAATTGGCTAACTTGTTTGACTTGTTGAAAATTGTTGAAGGTAGATAATGGGTATTGTGGGAGCTTCTTATATAATTTTCTCCATTTTTTTGATGTATGTTTGAAAATTCCCATACTGAAAAAAAGTTTAAAAGATTTAAGAAACATAATGAATAAATACAAGAAGTCTCTTATAAAGATCTTGATTTTAACAAACCAAATATAAAAAGACATTTTTAAGACAACAGAAGAATTATAAAATTGACTGGGTATTAGATAATATCAAAGAATTTTCTGTAATTTTGTTGAGTGTGATAGTAATAATTTTGTAAGAAAATGTTCCTTTTTGAGATTCATTTCAATGTATGTAAAAGTTAAAGGACATAAAGTTTGGGATTTCTTAAAAAATAAAAAACTGTACAGATGGCCTAAAATTTCTGTTTTCATATGTTTATTGTAAAAAAGTATGAGTTTTAATTTTATTTATTTATTGGTAACAGGGATTTAACCCAGGGGTGCTTAACTACTGAGCCACATCCCCAGCCCTTTTTAAAAAAAATTTCGTATTTTGAGACAGGGTCTTGTTAAATTGCTTAGGATTTCAGTAAATTGCTAAGGCTGGCTTTGAACTTGCAATCTTCCTGCCTCAGCCTCCCAAGCTGCTAGGATTACAGGCATGCACTACCTCAGTGGACTTTGAGTTTTCATTTTAGTGCTTTATTTAAAGAGAGTTTCAGGCTAATTCTATTACACACTAACTTTCTAAATGTGGCATTTATCCTTGAAGGCAAGAGGGAGAGTTCTACCATTGTTTCTGTTCTGACTGAGGAAAATCATGTTTCTTACAGATTTAATTCCTGAAGTATTTAAAATGCAGTGACTTAAAACATACTATGAGGGACACAATAATCACAAGAAATAGTGTCTACCTGCATGACATCTTTAGTTTAATTGGAGCTGTGTGTCATAGACTGGACAATTCTGTAACTTGGACATTGTAAATATAATGCAAAATGCAAAACACTTCTGAGATAATCTTTTGAAAAGTCTTTTCCAGCTCTAAAGTTTTTTTTTTTTTTAACAAGTGTGAGGTATTGTTTATATTAAATGTCTGGAAAAATTAAAATAATGAAGGAAAATAGAGCTTATCATTACAAGGATCTTTCTTGCAATATTGTCTTGTGAATTATGTTTTATAACGGATGAAAATATAGAGTACCTGTTGATATTAATATATATTTTATTCTTACTCCTAAATTGAATAATGGTGTCTTCTGGTACATTTTATTATTTAAATTAGTCAAATGAAATTTATAATATGTATAAAAGCAAATATTCTTTGTCCATACAAATTGTAATTTTGGTTATTTATCTGTAGAGATATAGAATTCCTAATGGGACTTGAATTTATGATATATATGAGACCTCAATTTATACATGAATTAATTTTTAGTGTGAAGAGATTAGTGTGCTTTTTCCTCTGAAAAATGTTTTGGTGTTTTAAAAAATTAGTTTGGCATTACAATCTATGATCATAGGTTTGCAAAGGATTAAAAAGTTTATTTTGGGCTGGGGTTGTGGCTCAGTGGTAGAGTGCTTGCTTAGCATGTGTGAAGGTTCAATCCCCAGTACCACATAAAAAACTAAATAAACAAAGTAAAGGTATTGTGTCCATTTACAGCTAAAATATATATTTTTTAAAATTTTTATTTCTATTATGAGTCTTAGCAGATTGCTGACTTTGAATGGGAAAAAGTATAAAATTAATTTCAAAATAATTCTACTGATGCTGTATTTTATCTGAGTTTGTGCTTTTCTAAGCTCATTTGTTTTTTGAAAGCTACATTTCTGTTGTTTCAGGAGTTCTCAGAGAGTAGAGGGATTTTATGATTTTCTTTTTTCTTAATGAAATGTGGTAATAATTAGAAGTGGATGTAGAGGGAAGCAGGATCTCAAACATACCTTCTTTATTTAGAATCCACTTATTAAACACTTGTCATGTGTGAAGGACATGCATTAACTGAAGTATCAGCACAGTGGGTACTGTCATCATCTGCATCATACAGAAGAGGCAACTGAGGCACAGGGAGTGTGGTATAACTTGCCCCGGTGATAATTACCTAGCTTACCAGGGGCAGGTCCAGGATTCTGACCTCAGCCCTCATGCTCATAATTATCATGTTCCCCTGCCTCTAGGATTATTATTGCTGAATTTGTAATGATTATTTTATCTTTAGTGTTCCCACTAGAAAAATACAGTGCTTTTTTAAAGAAAGTCTTAATTTTGGAGTCAATAGGAAATGCTCATTGATCGAATAGAACATCTTAAATACTTTTACAAATAAAGGGGAAAGTAGTGGCATGTAGTAGCATGGGAATAGATGGCTGGTATCATAGATTTCTGAAGGAGGGGGTAAGATAGTTTTTACTTCAGGTCAGAGATTCTAAAATTCCATCAACCACACAGAACATGGAATGTCCTTCCTGCTGTTACTTTGCATGCTGGTGATCTAAATCCCTAGTTTTTTAAGGGTGGAGAGGTTAGCCTATTTTCTCTAGCTTTCTATAAAATGCCAAGTAATTTCCAGCTCAGTCTACTCAGTGGGAGCTAGCTCAGTGAACGAGCTGGTCTATGAAAAGTGCCCAGGCTGGAGCCTGCCAGTCAGTCACAGTTACATGCAAGTTGTGATTGCTGAGCACAGTGTGAGATGGAAACAATATTTAATCTGATAACATTTGTTTTTCAGGTTGCTAAAAATCAGCCAAGGGGCCAGGATCACATACATAAATAACTACAGTGGGGCAAAATGGGATTATAGTGATACCAGAAATGTGAAAAAACCTGTGATGGCAGAGGGGTTGCATTTGTTAGAGGGACTAAGGAAAGATCTAAACAGAAGTATTGACCTTTTCAGTTAAGGCAGCTTTTTCTGATGTGTGGGATCAGGTGGATCAGTGATGGGAGCTGATTTCAGGTAGCACTCTGACATGGCCTGAAACAACTTTGAATTCCATAGTGAAAAAAATGATTCTCTTCTCCAGCTAGTCTGCTCTCCTCAGAGAGCAGCTCTTGACTTAGTACTGGTAGGGACAGCTCTCCAACATATGCTCATCTGTCTTTTCTGCAAAGTGAGTGTAGACCTGAAGCTCAGAATATGGAGCATCTACTTTGGATTTGTGTAGCTTTTCTAGGAACAAAATAACATGGTTTGGGCATAAAAACAAACATGAAGATCAATGGAACAGAGTAGAAGACAGAGAAAAAAATCACACAGATACAGTCATGTATCTATCTGATCCTTGACAAAGGTGCCAAAAACAGGTTGGATAAAAGATAGCCTTTTTAACGTGCTGGAAAATGGTGCTGGGAAAACTGGATATTCATATGTACAAGAATGAAATTATATCTGTATCTATCACCCTGCACAAAAGTCAACTCAAAGTGCATCAAAGAGGTAGGAATTAGATCAGAAACTTGGCAAATGATAAAAGAAAACCTAGGATCACCACTCCAAAATAACTGTAGGCATTGATTTCCATAATAAGACCCCTAAAGTTCAAGAAATAAAACTCTAAAACCATAAGTGGGATGACATCAAATTAAAAGACTTCTGCACAGCCAAGGAAGCAAGAGCATGAAAAGACAGGCTACAGAATGGGAGAAAAACTTTGCCAGCTACTCCTTTTACAGGGGTTAATACTGAGAATACATAAAGAACTCAAAAAACAGGCTGGGCATATAGCTCAGTGGTAAAACCCTTACCTAGTGTGCATGAGGCCTTGGGTTCAATCCCCAGCACCACAACAAAACAACAACAACAACAAATTACACACACACACACACACAATAATTCAATCAATAAATGGGAAAATGAACTAAACAGACATTTCTCAAAAGAAATGTGGTCAATAAATATATGAAAAAATTCAACATCCTTAGCATCAAGGAAATACAAATCAAAACTACAATGAGAGTTCATCTCACCCTAGTTAAAATGGGAATCATCAAGAACATAAATAATAAGTGCTGGGAATGTGGAGAGAGAGGAACATTTATACATTGTTGGTGAGAATGTAATCAGTATAATTATTATGAAAAGCAGTATGGAGATCCCTTGAAAAGACTGGGAATGGAACCACCATATTTTTAAACAAGCTATTCTGCTCCTTGGTTTCATCAAAAAGAACTGAAATTGGCATACTATAGTGGTGCCTGTATTCCAGTGTTTATAGCAGCACAATTCACAAAAATAGCCAAGTTATGCAACCAGGCTTGGTGTCAACAGATGAATGAATAAAGAAAATGTCACACACACACACACACACACACACACACGAGTTTTATTCAGAAATAAAAAAGAATGAAATTATGTCATTTGCTGGTAAATGGATGGAAGTGAAGATCATCATGTTAAATAAAGTAAGCCAGACTCAGGAAGTCAAGGGTTGAAGGTTTTCTTTTATATGTGGAAGCTAGAGAGAAATAAGAAATTGAAAAAGGGGGATCTCATGAAAATAGAAGGGAGAGAATAGTGGAACAGAGGAAAGGGATCAAGGGAAAGGAGGAGGAGGGAGGGGAGGAACTTATGTATAATTTTAATGCACCAATTAAAAAACAAACATTAATAGTGCACTAATAAAAACAATAAAAAGAATCTGTGTAGCTTTCATTCTGTTTTCACAGTTACCTGATATTTATGCCAAGTTATACTGGTTTTCTCTGTCAAGTAGCAATACAAAGTTTTCTTTTTCTTTTTTTTTTTTTAAACATCAGATTATTTATTTTGCTTACACAAAATAAGGACCAGGGAACTTCACTATTTCGCCAGTTGAGAATGGCTGTTCTCCCTCCAACCCAGATGTCTCTTGGAGGACCAGATGTGTCAGCTTGGTTTGATTGATTCCATGTTTTGTTTTGTTTTTTCCCCCTGGAATATTGTCTCTGTTGAAAAACTGGCTTCACAAAGAAGGTGGCAGCAGGAAAATTTCAGAATCCAAAGCTTAAAAATAAGTCTTGGGTAGTGTGGGGTTATTTTCTGTCTCTGGGGGGGATCATCCAGTGTCCGAGGCCTGGGGACGGAGGCAAAGTCCACAGCTGCCCATCTAGGAGATGTCACTCTCAGTAGCGTCTGGTGTCCTAATCTGTGCTCACCCAGGATAACCGTGGGTAAGGTGCAGCATGTCACAGGGGCCCCCTGACCCTCTGGGAGACAGAGCTCTCCCTGCGCAGACCCCGGGGCTGAGGGTCAGAGACCAGGAGAGAATCAACGACTGTCCCTGCCTGTGGTCCCTGAGGTTCTGGGACAGGGATGCAGGAGGCAGCCAGTGTCACAAGACATCCCTGTCCCCAGCCAGGCCAGGCGCCTGGCTAAGCGAGGAGAAAGAGGCCCTCCTCAGGGCCTGGCCCCTGTGCCTGTTCTCACTTCCTCCCAGCACTGCCTGAAAGGGGAGGAAGTGACACCCAGGGGAAGACCGGGAAGTGAGGCCACCGTCACATTCAAGTTCAGGGTGTGACAGCTCAGTCTGCCCCCCAACAGGCCCCATACTAGGCTCCCCTTCATGGGCCACATCTCTTCTGAGAATCACACCCTGCCCTTTATAGGCACAAGGATCCAGAAATTCCAGGAACATGTCCATGTTTAGGCCCTCGGATCCGGAAGTTCCTCAGGCATCCATGTTTAGGCCCCTGGACCTCAGGCGCACGTCCATTAAGCCCCAGGATCCGGAAGTTCCATGGGTGCACGTCCATATTTAGGCCCCCGGATCCGGAAGTTCCTCGGGCGCACATCCATGTTTAGGCGGTAGCATCCAGAAGTTCCTCAGGCGTCCATATTTAGGTCCACGGATCCAGAGGTTCCTCGGGTGCATGTCCGTGTTTAGGCCCCGGATCCGGAAGTTCCTCAGGCATCCATGTTTAGGCCCCAGGATCTGGAAGTTCCTCAGGTGCACGTTCATCTTTGGGCTCTCGGATCCGGAAGTTCCTCAGTCCTCCATGTTTAGGCCTCCGGATCTGGAAGTTCCTCAGTTGCATGTCCATGTTTAGGCTCTAGGATCCGGAAGTCCCTTTGGTGCACGTCCATGTTGAGACTCTAGGATTTGTAAGTTCCTCAGGCGTCCATATTTAGGTCCCCGGATCTGGAAGTTCCTCAGGTACATGTCCATCTTTGGGCCCTCAGATCCGGAAGTGCTTCAGGCGTCCATGTTTAGGCCCCTGGATCCGGAAGTTCCTCGGGTGCACGTCCATGTTTAGGCCACCGGATCCAGAAGTTTCTCAGGCACACGTTCATGTTTAAGCCCCAGGATCTGGAAGTTCATCGGTGCACATCCATGTTTAGGCTCCTGGGTCCGTAAGTTCCTCAGGTGCACGTCCATGATTAGGCTCTAGGATCCGGAAGTTCCTCAGTCCTCCATGTTTAGGCCAAAGCATCCGGAAGTTCCTCAGGCACACGTCCATGTTTAAGCCTCCAGGTTCCTCAGACATCCATATTTAGGCTCTGGGATCCAGAAGTGCCTCAGGAGTCCATGTTTAGGCCCTAGGATCAGGCATGCCTCAGGCATCCATGTTTAGGCCCTCAGAAATTCCTCAGACGCACATCCATGTTTAAGCCCCTGTATCTGGAAGTTCCTTAGGTGTACATTTAGGCCCCCGGATCAATACAGTGTTTTCTTTATGAATAAACTTCTTTAAGCCAATGTGAATTGATTAAAAGAAAAAACATTAAGGAAATAATATTAAATGTGGTTTGTGGATTTTGGTAAGTAATAAGGCTAGCTTATGAAAGAGAGATGGACATTTACCAGGGACAGCAAGAGTATGGTATAGGTTCAATCTAGTAAAGGGTATGAGTAAAAAGTAAGTTCGAGAGCAAGAAACATTTTAGTCTGGGGGTAGTAAGCTTCATGACTGATGAATAATAAGGGTAGGGGGGTACAAAACCATACTAAAATTTCATTAGTAACAAAGTTTTACAACCTGTTAATAATCACTGATATTCTTAAACTGCTTTTTTTCTTATATTTTACATGGAAATTTTTCTTGTAGATCTGAGGAGAAAATTAAGCACTTCAGTCAACTTAAATCTGAACTTTTTCTTAAAGACAGTACCTTGAGGAAGATACTTTGTTTAATTACGGAACTTAAGGTGGCAGCCCAGAAAAATTTCATTCTGAAAAGACTTTTTTGGAAAGTAGGTGTTTTATTTTTAATCTATAAAACTTGTTTGACCTGGTTATTCAAGCATAAATTAAAATATGAAGTTGTATGCTGATGCTATGTTTCAAATTGTTGTTTAAATTTAATACAATCATGTCTTAATACTTGAAAGTTTGTTAGGTAGTCAGTAATGTTTAAATGGGGTGGGGAGATAGGGGTTGGAGAGAGAGGGTGGCCATAGCACAAAGTGGCTCACATGGGTTGGGTTGGTAGACCCAAAGAGAGGTATTAGAACTGTGTGTGGTGGCCCATGCCTGTAATCCTAGTGGCTCAGGAGGTTGAGGCAGGAGAATCACAATTTCAAAGCCAGCCTAAGCAACTTAGCAAGGCTTTAAGCAACTTAGTGAGACCCTGTCTCAAGATAAAAAAAATAAAAAGGGCTGGGGATGTGGCTCAGTAGTTAAATTCCCCTGGGTTCAATCCCTAGTACCTGCACCCAACACTCCCCAAAAAAGAGGTTTTAGAGGGAAAGTTTTTAAATATGAGTTGTAATATGGGAAAGTATATTTCAAGAAGTTTTACTGTACAGATTCCTCTATAATGAAAATGTAATTTTAAATAATTACTTTTGAGGGTTGTGGCTCAGTGGTAGAGCACTTTACCTAGCCTGTGTGAGGTACTGGGTTCAATTCTCAGCACCACATATAAATAAATAAAATAAAGGTCCATTGACAACTTAAAAAAAAAAAGAATTACTTTTGAGTGTGGGATAGTTATTTTTAAAAATGTGACTCCTGAGAAAACAAGGCAGCCTAGTTCTCACTTGGTTAAGTTATAAATGCTTCATTTTCAGTTTCAGGGGAAAGGTTTGAAGAAGCTCAGATGATTAATGATGTGGTGGTAATGAGGCCAAGGTGAAGTGGTAAGCCCTGCCTAAGGCCAAACTCATGTTGGTGGATATATGTTGCATCCTAATTCTGGCTAGTGGCCTCATACATAGCTGCTACCATCTTATTGAGCAGTTGTGAAATATATAACCCCTCCACCATTATAGACAGTCCTGGCCACTTCTTAATTCTAGATAATACAAATGTAGGATGACCAACCATGTTGGTTTGCCTAGACTAGGGTGACCAGCTGTTCCAGTTAATGTGGGCCTGAGGAAGTTCCTGGGACATGGGAAGGCTAGGACAGTCTCATGCAAATCAGGATGGTCTATCACTCTAATTAGAGAACAGAATCAGCATAGAGAGTAATATGCCAAATGTCTGAAAACATTGAGATTCAGGTAAGAATGATGTGGTACTGCATGGTTCTAAAATGGTCCATACTGGACAGATATTGTAAGGAATGCAACATCCATGTTTTGACTCTAGGATTTGAGGAGAATTGTGGAAAATAAAGGGATGAACATCAAAAAGACCAACCACATTGATTATGAAAATGGAAATGGAATTCATGTGGAAAGGCTAAAGAAATTGGGATTATCGTCACCCAACTAAACCTCCCCACTCCATCCCACACATGGTATTAATTTAGTCAATGACCCTGATTATGTGGGCTTCTTTGTTGAAAAACCTCTTGTGACTTTTCTTACTAAATTAAGTGCAGCCACGTTGGCATTTAAGACTCTCCACTAATGGTCTCTGTCACAGACTCTGAATTTGGACAGGCCTGGCCTTTATTTTAGGAAGGCAGTTTATCAGCAAGGGACTATCATCTGGGCAGGGCAAGTCCTGGTATCTGATCCAGCTCATGGAGAAGGTATAGTTCCCAAGGGTGGGAGTGATCTTTAGATAGAAGTGGGCAAAATTAAATATGTGAGCATTCCAGCATATGGGTGAAATTACACTAGATGTACAAGCATTTGGTACTAGGATGATCTGCTTATTTAAGGTGTGGGAACAGGTCTTTCATGGAATGTGAGGTCTGGATCCAGGATCAAGGACACAAAGATTGTCAAGAGTAAAGCTAATAGCTGGGTAAGGATGGGAAAGGATTTCAGTCAGGATACCCCTTAGACAAACTGAAAACAATCAGGGATTGAATTTATTTATTTATTTATTTGTTTATTTATTTATTTAGTGGTGCTTGGGCTTGAATCCAGGGCCTGCAAGACAAGCACTCTAACAAACACTGAGCTATATCCCCAGCCCAGGGATTGGGTTTAAAGTGGATGTTTAGATAGGAGAACCAAAGTGCCATCTGAGGGTTAGATAGGAAGAAGTCATTTAAACATCTCCAATATTAAACCAAGCCTGATGTAGGTGGCTATGGCTGTGGAGCAAAAATAAAGATGCAGACAGAGAATAAAGCCAGACCTAATACACTAATACACAGTGTCTGCTAACCACTTCATCTTCTTTCTGAAGTCTGTCTTCTAAAAGCTTGAGCTCTGTGGTATGACTTGAATACCCTGAAATGAAATTATGTCATTTTCAGGAAAATGGATGGAATTCAAGAACATTATGTTAAATGAATGAACCAAAGTTTTTCTAGGATACATCTTCCATTTTCTATTGTTAAACTCCTACCCATTCTTCAAGGTTCAGCTCAAATGTCATCTTTCTGCCTTTCCTGTCATCCTCAGCGAAGAACTTTAGTAAAATCTTCCCTTTTTATCTTCTATAGCAGCTCTGTCCATGGAACTTTCTTTGATGTCTCATAATCTGTGGTGCTCAGTATGGTAGACATTAGCCACATGTGACTATTAATGCACTTCAGTGTGGCTAAAGACAAAGGAAGTGAAATTCTGATTTTAATTTAATTCATTTACAGAGCCACTGTGGTCAGTGGCTACTATATTGGCCAGTGCAGTTCTATGGCATTTTTCATAGTATTTTCTAATAATTCAATAGACATTCATTGCAGTTCTAATGGTAGCAGAAGCGGGCATTAGAAATGCAAGTGTGGTTAAGATATTCAGTTCCTCATGTTTACATTGTTGAGATTATAAATTAGTACAACCAGTGTAGAAATCAGTATGGAAGTTCCTCAAAAGACTAGGAATGGAACCACCATATGATCCAGCTATACCACTCCTTAGTGTTTATCCAAAAGAATTAAAGTCATTAGTATCATTACTATAGTGATGCATACATACATGGATTGTGCAATCCATGTGGATTGCACAATCCACAATAGCCAAACTATGGAAACAGTCTAGGTATACATCAATGAGTGAATAAAGAAAAAGTGTTATATATACACATTGAAGTTTTTATTCAGTCATAAAGAAGAATGAAGCTTTTTCTGCTTTCTGATCATAATGTGAACAGCTTCCCTCCACCACACTCTTCTGCCTCACCGCGAGCCCTTAGGAATGGAGCCTGCTGTCTATTGATTGAGAATTCTGAAATTGTGAGCCCTTAAACAAACTTTTCATCCTGTACAATTGTTCTGGTCAGGTCTTTTAGTCAGAGCAGCAAAAAAGCTGACTGAAACAGAAATTGGTAGTGAGAAGTGGGATCCTTGCTGAGACTAACCTGACCATGTGATTCATAAGTTTCTGGAGCATTTTAGAATTGGTGGGAGGAATTTTGAGATGTTTAGCAGTGCAAGCTGTAAATGCTTTAGATTGTTGTAAGCAGAAATGAATGGCTGATTTCAGTGGGAGCTCAGAACACTAGAATGCCAATAGGACCATGGACAGTGAAGAAAGGGCTTAAGAGGGCTTAGAAAAAAAAGGAGAACACTATTGGTAATTGGACTAGAGGCCATTCGTGTTATATTCTGGCTGAGAATTTGTCTGTCTTTTGCCCATATCCTGAGATTTTCTGTGAGACTAATTTTAAAAGTGATGGACTCTTTAATCTGTTTCGAAGAAATCTCTAGTCAGCATAGCATTCAGATGGTGGCATGGACATTTTTGGTGGCTTTTAGGCAAATCTATTGTGATAATCAGAAGCAGAAAGCAGAGCAGAAAGATTTGAAAAACTTGGACTTGAAAGGTGGAAGTAAAACCAGGGCTAAGAAAGTTGCAGTTGTTAAAAACATTACTGCCACTGAAGAAATGCTAAAGACTTTGCCTAGAGACAATGAGAAAGATGGCTTGAGGACATCTCAGGAGCTGGCAAGTTCATATCCATCTCAGACTCAAGGAAATAAAAGTAAAAAATTCTCTAGAGAATAGACCAGTGGGACACTTTTTTGCACAAGGGAGCCTAGGAAGTTTTTTCAACAGACTCAGCCACCCAGACACTCAGAGGCTGCAGGAGCCAGGGTCCCTTGAGGCTTTAATACTGCTTGAGTTGGTGTTAGACCTTGGTGTCAACCATGTGGTGTTGCTTCTGCAGGAATGCAGGATGCTAGAGCTAAGGGATCATGGAGGATTCCACCAAGATTTCAAATGAAGGCCTGGGAGGCCAGGCAAAGTGCAGCAGGGTCAGAGTCCCTGTGGGCAACCCGAGAGGACAATACATGGAGATGTGAGAAGGAAGCTAAAACTGCAGTGGAAAACCCCAAAATTAAGAAATGCCAGTACCATGGAACATCTGCTGAGGAAACCTGCAGAAGTTAAGTTGAGGCAAGCCAACTAAAAGTCTACAGGGGAGACCTGCACAGAACATTACCTTGCCATGTGCCCCAGATGCCTAACATGGAGCTATAGGACTTGTTTGTCCAGCTGGATTCAGTCTTGCTTTGGTCCTAGCCCTTCTTTCTATGCCCCTATTTCTGTGAATGGAAGTGTTTACTCTGTGCCTTTACATATTGGGTACTTGTAAGTTGCTTTTGATTTTTACAGGCGCTCACTATGCAAGCTTGCCCTAAGTCTCAGAGGAGACTTTGGACTTGAACTTTGGGCAATCTTGAACTATTGAGACTTATTGGGGACTTATGAAAATGGACAAAATGTATTTTGCATTGTGAGATGAGTGTGAGCTTTTGGGGGCCAGGGGCAGAATGTTATGGTTTGGAAGTGAGGTGTCCCCCAAAAACTCACACGTGAGACAATGTGAGAGGGTTCAGAAGGGAAATGATTTGATTGTGAAAGCCTTAACCCAATCAGTGGATTAATCTCTTGACTTAATTGACTGTAACTGGAGGTGGGTAGGGTGTGGCTGGAGGAGGTGGGTCATTGGGTGCATGGCTTTGAGGTATAATTTGTATTTGGCAAGTGGAGATCTCTATCTCTGCTTTTCTGATAATCATGTGAGCCACTTCCTTCCACCACACTCTTGCACCATGATGTTCTGCCTCACCTTGTGCCCTTAGGAATGGAGCTGGCTGTCTATGGACTGAGACCTCTGAAACCATGAGCCCTTCTCTACAAAAATAAAATGAAATAAAATAAAAATAAAAAGAAGAATATATGTCATTTGCGAAAATGGATGGAACTTGAGAACATGTTAACTGAAATAAGCCAAACTCAGAAAGTCAAGGGTCATATGTTTTCTCTAATATGTGGAAGATAGAGAGGAAGAAGGAAAAGAAGTAGTGAAGATCTCATAAAAATCGAAGGGAGATCTGTAGAGTAAGAGTAAAAGAGACCAGGGAGAGGGAGGAGGGAAGGAAAAGGGAAAATATTGGATGATACTGACCAAATTATATTGTTATAGTATGTGCATGTACAAATAATAACAATGATTCCCACCATTATATACAACTATAATGCACCAATAAAAATATGGAAAAAAAATTAAAAAGAAAATATGAGGAAAAGAAGATATCTATTTTCAAGAATTAGATGTGTGTGTGTGTGTGTGTGTGTGTGTGTTTATTACTATAGTTATTGGCACAGCTCTCTCTTTTTTTTATTGGTTGTTCAAAACATTACAAAGCTCATGACATATCATCTTTCATACATTTGACTCAAGTGGGTTATGAACTCCCATTTCAGCTCTATTATTTACTACAACATGCTATACACTTCTTCAGGACAGGCATGTGTCTTACTTACTCATCTCTGTGTTCTTCCTAAGTTAAGTCCTAAGACAATGAATGCATATTCGACATCTTGGAAATGATTCCTATGTGATATCAAATTTATTCTCTTGTGAAAATTAATGTGGTAAGAAGTCTAGGAATAAAACATTCATGTTCTGTTTCACACTTGGAAATGCTGCAGACATTTTTTAATGTAATATTCTTAGATGTACCAAAATAGAAGATCTTTTAATTCAGTCTTCAAATATGAAAGATCAGAGTGAATGGAGAGGGAGATAAAAGGCATGTGGGTACCATCCTGATTGGAGTCTTTCCACACTTTAGTGGACTACCCATGGCCCACTCCCTGGCCATGCCATCAAGACCTGGTAGTTTTATGTTTTTTCTTTCTCCTCCACAAAATCTATTCTTATATTCATTTACACAAAGTTAGCATCTGTAACTAATAAATGTCAACATTCCTACTTTTTTTAGAAGCTTTTTTAAAAGTTTAAATGATTGCTATCATGTCCATGAGTGAAAGCTGTGGTTTTTCTACTTTATATTGAATTTCCCTGAACATAGGTTGTATAAAGCTCCTTCAGGAACTCACAGTAAGGTCTAGAGATTAGAGGCTACTTTATTTTTCGTTCCTGGAAAAGAAGATGGAAAATTTTACACACACAAACACACACACACACACAAATACATATATGAACAGATGTATGCACACATGTCATACATATATGTATAGATGTATATACATACATGCATATATGTGTATACATATATTCCTACTTTGTGTATACATCTATACATATATGTATGTATGTGTGTGTATATATTTATATATTTTAAAATCAACTTATTGGGGTATAGGTTGTTTTCTTTAAAGTCATCTTTTTCATTGTATTGCAATTAGAACTTAAATTATGAGAACACTTTCTTATAGGTCGACTAAACTGAAAGTTTTAGGAATACAGGCTTATGTCTTATCTGTGTTGCTCAGCTCAAGGTGTTATTTTATTACCTAGCATAGTACCTGCTGTAGAGCTGGCAATCAGTAGTTATAAGTTCAGTTACTGGATAAATGCATAAATGAGAGTTCTCTATTCATGTCCTTTCCTAGTCTTTTATTTTTCTCCATGAGGTTTTTTTTTTCTAGTTTTTAAAAAGCCTAGTAAAATACATATAACGGTTACCATCTTTAACATTTTTGAGTGTACATTTCAGTGGAATTAAGTACATTCACACTGTTGCTCAACCATTAGCACCATAATCTCCAGAACTCTAGTCATCTTGCAAAACTGAAATGCCAAACTCATTAAACAATAACTGCCTAATCCTCTACCACCCTGCCCCTAGCTCTTGGGAACCATTCTACTTTTGTCTCTATCAATTTGACTAGTCCAAATACCTCATATCAGTAGAATCATAGACTATTTGTCTTTTTGTGACTGGCTTATTACACTGGGTTATATGGTAATTCTATTTTTAGTTTTTTGAGGAACCACTATACTGTTTTCTATAGTGTCTTGCTATTTTATATTTACACTGGAAATGATTATGACTAGGAATCATTTCCAAGATGTCGAATATGCATTCATTGTCTTAGGGTTCCAATTTCTCATTCTCACCAACCCTTGTTATTGTGTGTGTGTGTGTGTGTGTGTGTGTGTTTATAACAGCCATCTGAATGAATGGGAAGTGATACGTCATTGCAGTTTTAAAAAAATATTTTTTAGTTATACATGGACACAATACCTTTATTTGGTTTATTTATTTTTATGTGGTGCTGAAGATCGAATCCAGTGCCTCACATGTGTGAGGCAAGCGCTCTGCCATTGAGCCACAACCCCATCCCTTCATTGCAGTTTTGATTTGCATTTCCTTAATGGTTATTGATGTTGAACATCTTTTCATGTGTTTATTGGATATTTGTATATCTTATTTGAAGAAGTTATTGGGGTATAATTATAAATCATGTAAATAATACATATAAATACATATAAATGTACCCATATTTAAGGGTATAGCTTGAAGAGTTTTGATGAATATGTATCCATGTAATACTAACCCATTCAAGGTTTAGGACATATCTGTCACCCCAGAAGGCTACTGTGTGCCCTTTGACAGGAAGTTCCCTTACACTCCTGGCCTCAGGAAACTAATGATATTTTTTTTGTCACTATTATAAATTAACATGGACTGTTTTAGTAGTCCTCTAACATGGAATTGTTCACAATGTACTCTTTTGGCTTAATGCTTCTGAGAGTCTTCCATGTTATTATAGATTGGTTGTACGATATTTAGGGAGTAAAATTTCATGAACCAATGAGCAGATGGGAGATCATAATAACTGAAATTTATTAAGCACTTATGATGTGCTAAGCACTATTCAACTTTACAAATTCTATCTTATTTAGTCTCAACACCAACTCCATGAAGCAAAACAATTAACACTATTTTAGAGATGGAGTAACTGAGTCATAGGGACCATAAATAACTTGCCAAATATCATACAGCCAACAAGTGGCAGAGCTAGGAAGTGAATTTGGAGAGCTTTGCTCCAGAGTCAAGTGTGTTAAGCTGCCTCACTGCTAATTTATCAGGTACTGGGTAAGCCCAAGCACATGGAGAGGATCTGGTGTCCATCCTACTCCTTTTCCTTTCCCTTTCTGCACTGCCATCCTTAGCCTATTCTCATGCCATATCACCTAAGCAAGAGCACACAACACTTGTCTAAATGGAGTCTAAGTTGTCACTAGTAATCAGTAGTCCAGGAGAAAAAAGTGAAAAACAGGAATAGAAAAGAGAAGCAATTATACAACTTTTCTCATTAGTACCAACTTGCCTGATTTGATGGGCCAGTGCTTATTTTCATGCTTGATTTATCTCATGAAACTAAATAAGAATACAACAATATTAGTTCCCCAACTCTGAGTCAGTATTTCTTGAGACAAAAACAGTGATCTGTGTTTCCACTGTTTTACCAGAAATATGTCATTCTGCATAATTTTTACAGGGTATATTTGTGATATGCACTTGTTTTTGTGTTAGTAAACATTTTAAAACAAGAGCTTTCCTATCCATTATTTCATTATATCCTGACAAAAGCCCAATTACTTTGGAAAGGCAGGAACTATTAAAAAAAAACCCAAGATAATTGAATGATTTGTCTGAGATTATACACTAACTTTTGGATGATCATCAATATTAGTGGTTCAGCCAGGCCTAAATGGCATCTCTTTACATCATCCCCTAGTTCTTGTTCTGTTCACCAGTACAGAGGTCTCCTGGTTGTAATAAAACTTATATTGTCAACTTGGATCATGTTAATGTTAATGAGAAATAATGTAACTTATTTATTGAATCAAAAAACAAATCATTTTCCATACTTTCATGTAAGGATAGAGAGTTTTAACAGTAGATATCTTAATTACCGTGTTCTTTCCCACTTGTTTTCACAGACCAGTGACCTTTTCTACTTCCTAGTGAACAAACTACATGAGTACTTACCAGAGTCTAAGGATAAGAATGCACTTCAAAATAAAAGCCAAAGGGTTGATGAGCTGGTGTAAGTACCAACTAGATACTTTGATAGTTCCCCCCTACAGTGTTAATGATAAATTGAAGGCACTAGACAAAATATATGTGGTATTAATAATTAATGGTGCTGCAAGTTTCACTTCACAAAGAATTTTAAAAATTGCATTACACAAGAAACTGGTAACATTGGCTGTCCCAAAGAGGAAAAATGGGTGACTGGAGGAAAATCATCATTTATTGTATCTCCTTTTTCACCTTTGATATTTTGAGTCATCAAATATTATTTATTTGAAAAAAAGGAGAAATCATGCAATTTTCTTTCTTTCTCCTCTTTGTTTTCTAGGACATGCATTGAAATTATACAGACCTTAGGACTGATGTTCAGAGAAACAGAAATTGAATCATCACGCCTAAACACATTGGCAGCTAAGAAGTAAGATCTTTGAGAAGACATTGGCCCTTGTAGTTTTGATTTGTTAACTGTTCTTGTTGAATGTCTTCCAAAACACATAATATTCTAACTTCTCAGTTCAACCCTCTTGTAAGTACATTACACTCTTTTGACTCTCTGATTCCTTCTGTGATGATTAGATTAATTGGCACATGCTGAGTTCTCTTTGTCCCTTTGGATTATTAAGGGTACAGAGGTTTTAATAACATAATTTTATCTTTTATCCTAGTTTGGTGAACTCGAAAAAGACCAAATAACCCATCATACATTAAAAGCCAGGGACTTTCCACGAGAATTTTCTAGGGTTCATTTGTATCTACAACAGAAAAATCACATTGGAAAGACAGGAATTGTATTGGCCACATTTATTATGTATAGTCATGTATTGCTTAACCATGGAAAGAATGTGTGTACCTGTATAAACCTAGATGGTATAGTCTAATATATATATATATGTTAATTTATAATAGTGACAAAAAACATATATATAATGTATATATATTATGTATATATATAATGTGTATATACATAAAGATATATTATACATGCACATACATATATACACTATAGCTTACTACTCCTACAGCCATGATAAACAAGAAAACACAAGATTCAATCAAGCATGAGCAAAAATGATGCAATTGAGAGATGCAATAAATGAGAAGTTATGAGGATGTTGCTGGAGTAAACTTATTTACTTAAAAGGAGAACTACACTCTAAAATAATGATTTAAAAGTGTAGTATAGTAAATATATAAACCGGTAACTGTTGTTTATTACTTTGTTAGCACATAATCAAGGATTATGCACTAAGAAAGTGCAGCATGTGCTGTACTTTTGACTTGCAGCACAGTAGGTTTGCAGAAGCAACACCATAAATAATGTGGGTAATGCTCTGTATTGTTTTGATGGCTCCAGGGTTTCTAGGTGATAGGAATTTTTCAGTTTCATTAGAATCTTATAGAGCCATTGCTGAATATGCTGTCACTGACCAAAACATCATTATGAGGCTCATGACTGTAACTGGTGACCTTAGAAGGCTTCTTAAGTTATAGGATGAGCTGCTGTAATGAAGATACTCTAAAAATATTTGGCCAAAAGAAGATAGGAATTGATATCTTTCTCACATAACAGTCTATAGTAGACAGTCAAGCTTTCCTCCACAAGGCCAGCCAAGGACCTGGCTTCCTCCCCTTTAGTTACTCTGTCACCTCCTATTCTGCTGTGTCCTCTTGGTTGAAGTCACCTGACCTTAATGATTTCATTATACCACTGGGAAGTAGAAAGAGAAGCAGAGGACAAGCAAATTTCCTTTTTTAAGCAAGGCTTACAGCACTTAGGTTCACAGTGTATTGATAAGAACTCAGAGAGGATGGAATGTATCTGTAATTGGACAGCCGAGGGCCTAGCTAAACTTTGAATGGTGGTCAGCACATCTGTTATTTAAAGGAAGCATGGGAGAATCTATAATGGGGGACAATACTCAATACACAAAAATAATGTGTTCACATGTTTTATTGCTTTGACTTTTTAAATATGTATTTATGGACATGAATTATATCCTTGGGCAAAGTTCTGGTTAAAACTGAATTTGTTTCACTCACCCCTCATTGATTATTTACCTAAATTCATTATATTAGAAAATGTAGGAAGGATAAAGGAGATGAGCTCTAAAACACTTAAACCAGGGGGAAGAATAATAACTTAGTAATATTTTTCCAGGGTTTTTATTAGACTTTTAAAACATAAATTTTAGTGATAATAATCATAAATATTTTTTAAGTAACTTGCCACTTACAAGGGCATATAGGAATACTTTATAGCAGGGATGGGCAGATATTTCTATAATCCTGCCACTGTAGTACAAAGGCAGCCCTAGGCAGTATGCCAATGGATGGGCACAGCTGTGTACTAAGAAAGCTTTATTTACAGAGTTGGGGTTGTAGTTCAGTGGCAGAGCACTTGCCTAGCATGAGTGAGGCCCTGGGTTTGATCCCCAGCATTGCTAAAACAAACAAAAATGGCTCTGTGTACAAAAATAGGCTGTGTGCTGGATTTGTTTGCAGGACATAATTTGCTGACCCCTGCTTTATAGCAAACAAAGAAAGTACACTGTTATTTACTCTGCATACTTTAAGCCATTGGTAGTACTGCTAATCCCTCAGTCTCTAAGATAGAGATTTAAGACTACTTTTGGTATTTCTCTGTTCTCCTACACTAAAATTGTTGCTAAATCTTGTCTTCCTTTCCTCTTTTTTGGTCTCTACTTCTCTCTGTTAAAGTTGAAAAAAATTTTCCTCACTTCTGTTGTGAAATGTTGCCTTTCTTTAATTTTTCCGTTTTTAACTTGGTTTGGCCATATCAGCCCTATTATATTAATCATCTTTCCTGATATGACTAATCCTTTTCATGCCCTTCAATACGTATATCCATTTGCTAAGTAGAGTCTGGTTGTAATGTTATACTGTCCATTTTGATATATATAGGCTCAAGTCCTGTTATCGATAGCATTAATTAGCACACAATGAATGTTTACATAACAGTGTTAGTCTTCTGTTGTCATGTAACAAATTATTACAAGTTCAGTAACTTAAAATAACATATTTATTATCTTACAGTTTCTGTGAGTTAGGAATTTTGGCACCACTGTCATCTGGGCTGGAGTTCTCTCCCAAGCTCATCTGGGTGGTTGCTGGCAGAATTGATTTGTACACAGCTATAGAATTTGTTGCTTAGCAGGAGCATATCTCTGAGCTCAGGAGAGGCTCAAGTTCTCTTTCATAGGGCTCATTCATTAGATCAGGTTTGTTCAGGATACTCCTCTTTGAATTGACTAAAAAAAGTCAATTAATTAGAGGTCTAATTATATTTGCAAAACTCTTCACCTTTCTCATCTAATATAATCATAAATTATTAGAAAAGCATATTCATAGATACTGCCCAAACTTGAAAGGAATTATATACAAAATGAATATGGGAGGTGAGAATCCTGGAAGCCAAAGTACAATTCTGCTTTCCACAATATCATAGACTGACTTAAGAGACTATAAGTTTGTTCTTAGAGTCTGTGTTTTAAAGTATATTGAAATGCATTAAAAATTCATATACTGGAAATAATAACAAACAGAAGAATAAAAGTATTAAATTGTCGGGGCTATTTTTAAGCCTGGGATGTCAAACCTATAAGTATTTCCAGGATAAAACTACCATTTTGATTAAAATTATTGGCCTAATGGAGTTTAAATAAAGTTGACGGAAGGAGTGGGTTTCAAATTAAATTCCATTTGAGAATATATAAAGCAATTATTCATTTTAGCATTTCCCTCTTTATTTTCATAAATGGGGATTTTATTAGATAAGTGTACTTTGCTTTATTCCTCTTAAAATGTGCTACATCCGTTCATATTTTAGTATTGTTAGAGTTGAATTTATATATTATCACAGTAAGTGACCCAGAATTTGAGAGTTCCTTTCTTTAGCTTTGAAAAGAAGCTGTTACTGAAAATGAAGGTTTATAATTAAATATAACAATGAATGGAATGTCAACTCAAACAATATCAGGAAAAGCTTCTAACAGGAGTGTTGTGTGATTTTGGAAAGATCTTCTAAAAGTAAAACTAGCCATTTTAAGTAGCCTTTATAAAACTGTAGTGAATACTCTATAGGATCTGTCCTGCTTTTTTTGAGAAATGTGCTGATAATGATTCTTCTTTTCCAGACATAAGAATTAGACTTGCTTTTTGAGCTGATTGTGAGCTTTTTATCCTAGTATGATTTAAATTATTGTAAAAAGATTAGAAAGTCTCAAGTATTACTAAACACAGATTGCTTATAGTCCCCTTCATTCTGTTATAAAAGGAATGCTTATGGTTATAGAGAATTTTTATAGTCCTTATTCTTAAATTTTGTTACTACTCCTATGTTTCAAATCTACTCTGTTATTTTCTTTAGTTAGTCCAAGAATTTTCTTTTCTGTTTTGAAATGAGGTCTCGCTTTGCTGCCCAGGCTGGTCTGGAAGTCTTTCCTGGGCTTAAGCAATCCTCTCACCCCAGCCTTCCCAGGACTATAGGTATGCGCCACCATGCACAGCTAGGCATGATTTTCTCCTGCTCCTATTCAACTGTACATGGATTATTCTTAACATTTGAAGATGGTGTTACTGGCCGAGCTCCTTAGGATGCATACTTTGAGTTGTGAATTTTGCCTTTTTATTTTCAAATAGGAGGGTGCCATATATTATTCAAACATGTAGTAACTTTAAAAAAGGGTTATAGAGTGAGGGTGGGTGGAAAAAGCTACACTCATACATTGCTGGTGGGACTGCAAATTGGTGCAGCCAATTTGGAAAGCAGTATGGAGATTTCTTGGAAATCTGGGAATGGAACCACCATTCCTCTTCTTGGACTATATTCCTCTTCTTGGACTATACCCAAAGGACTTAAAAACAGCATACTACAGGGACACAGCCATATCAATGTTTATAGCAGCACAATTCACAATAGCTAAACTGTGGAGCCAACTTAGATGTCCTTCAGTGGATGAATAGGTAAAAAAAAAATGTGGCATTTATACACAATGGAATATTACTCAGCACTAAAAAAGAACAAAATCATGGCATTTGCAGATAAATGGATGGCGTTGGAGAAGATAATGCTAAGTGAAGTTAGCCAATCCCAAAAAAACAAATGCCGAATGTTTTCTCTGATATAAGGGGGTTGACTCATAGTGGGGTAGGGAGGGGGAGAGCATGGAAGGATTAGACTAATTCTAGATAGGGAAGAGGGGATGGGAGGGAAAAGGAGGGGGAAGGGGTTTAGCAAGGATGGTGAAATGTGATGGTCATCATTATATAAAATACATGTATGAAGATTTGAATTTGGTGCCAACATACCTTATATCAAACAGAGATATGAAAAATTGTGGTATATACGTGTATTAAGAATTGTAATGCAAAAGAAAAGAGTACATGTATAATGGCATAAATTGGCATGAACATACTTTATATAGAGAGATACGAAAAATTGTGCTCTATATGTGTAATAAGGATTGTAATGCATTCCACTGTTGTTATATATTTAAAAAAAGGTGGGGTGTTCTGGAGTCATAAAACTTGGGATCAAATAAGCACTTTAAGAATTCTGGGGCCTGGGGATGTGGCTTGGGGCTGGGGATGTGGCTCAAGCAGTAACGCGCTTGCCTGGCATGCGCCGGGCACTGGGTTCGATCCTCAGCACCACATAAAAATAAAAAATAACGATGTGTCCACTGAAAACTGAAAAATAAAAAAAATTTAAAAAAGAATTCTGCACATTATTCACAATAGCCAAGATATGGAATCAACCTAAGTGTCCATGAATGGATGCAAGAAAAAAGAAAATGTGGTATACATTCACAATAGAATGCTATTCAACCTTAAAATTAAGAAAAAAGTCCTGTCATTTATGACAACATAGATGGAGCTAGAGCTGGAGGAAACTATACTAAGTGAAGTAATCCAGGCACAGAAAGACAAGTTCCATATGATATTCATTATTTGCAAAATCTAAAAATGTTGAACTCAAAGAAACAGAGTAGAATGGCAGTTACCAGGATGTCGGGGTAGTAGAATTGGTGGATGTGGTCAAAGGGTACAACATTTCAGTTAGACAAGAGGAATAAGTTCAAGTGATCTATTGTATGACATGGGGACTACAGCTAATAACAACTTATTATATATTTGAAAATTGCTAGGAGTTGATTTTAAGTGTTCTCATTACAAAAAATGTTAAGTATGAGAGGTAAAGCATACAGCTTCATTCAACCACTCCAGTGTATACATATTTCAAAACATCATTTTGTACACCATAAACATATATAATTTTATTTGTTAATTTAAAAAACAACTAAAAAAAGAAATGATATATACTATTGCTTTGTCCTAGAGATATGCAGTACATATTACCATAGTAAAGCTAATGAGAAGTCCTGTAGTAAAAGATATTCAATAAACTTAGTGTAACCAAGTATTTCCTATGTTTCTTTTGACCACAGAATCTATTTTGATCAAAATATTGCCTGAAATTATTAATTCCTAAAAAAATCTTTTGGAGCTGGGCGTGGTGGTGCACGCCTGTAATCTCAGCAGCTTGGGAGGCTGAGACAGGAGGAGTGTAAGTTCAAAGCTAGCTAAGCAACTCAGTGAGACCCTGTCTCTAAATAAAATACAAAATAGTGCTGGGGATGCGGCGTGGTGGCCAAATGCCCTCGAGCTTGATCCCTGGTACTCCCCCCAAAAAAATCCTTTGGAAAATATTACTATATTTGACATCACCAGCATCTCCCTTAAATCTAGAGTTGCTAACCTCTCCAAGCTATTTGAACTTCTAGAAGTAGACTTGCTCTGAGATAAACAAACAAAAAACCCAAGAAATTGCATTTTTATCTAAATTTCTTATTTCAAAATAAATAAATATTTCTTACTTTTATACATCTGCATGCCCAAGGGTCCAAAAGTTTAATCAAGATGTGTCTGCGAACTTGGCTTCACTGTTTTTCTTTTCAAAACTATTCATTAGGGCTGAGGTTGTGGCTCAGTGGCAGAGCTCTTGCCTCACGAGACATGTGAGGCAACTGGGTTCAATCCTCAGTACCACATAAAAATAGGTAAAAAAAAAATAAAGATATTGTGTTCATCTATAACTAAAAAATAAAAAAAAATTAAAAAGCTATTCATTAACCGCTCTTTGTGTTTATTTTTTTTTTTTAGGGGAACTCTATTTAATCTCTTGAAGATTTTAATTAGCAAGCCTCAGATTCCAAAATCTTGTCCTGTATTTGATGTCCAATTGATGGCTGATTCAACTTTAGCTGAAATGTCTTTTGATGCTAAGGTGAGATGAAAATTTGGGGGCATACTAACTATATAGGGAATGTGGCTTCTTTTTACATGGACCATGACACTGTAGAAATATAGACATATACTTAAACCAAAGAATAGATATTTTGTTATTAATGTAAAAACCTAGATAACTATTGTCAATATTAATGTGTTCATTTTATTTGTTTTAAGGTATATATACTAAGGAAAATAATAGCCATTGTTAAAAAGTTATATGCTATGTGTCTCTATATACAATATACATGAATTCCATAGTAGGGGTCTAATGGACAAAAAAAGCAATGTCTTAGAAATTTTAGGGTTAACTCTAGGGCTTTTATTTACCATTTCTCTACCTATATAAGTGGAAGAGAATTACTTGTTTTCCTAAGGTTGTAATAAAACATTGGAAATATCAAATTGACTGCAAACCATATATTTTGAGAGAATAAATCAGCTTATTATTAATTTATTTTGAGCCAAATCAACATAGAAAATGTTTTTTAAAGTATGGACATGATTTGATAGTTCATAAACATATAATTGAAATTATGTTTTAGAAAACTCATTTACCCATTCACTCAGTATGTATTTATAAGCATCTATTATGAGCAAATAGCATGCTAGCCAGGGGGTCTAAACAGTAAGCAAAACACAATCTCTACTTTCACTGGTTTACAAACTGGTGTGAGGGACGGATGTTGCTCAAATATTCCTAGGAATATATAATTACAAACTGTCTATGGAGTGTCTGAAATACACTTTGAATGATGGAGTATAAAAAGTGGGTCAGAAGCAAGACTCCTAGGCAGGGTGCTTAAGATGATAGTGCAGTAGTTGAGGTGAGGGGGGGATGACAAAGGTTGGAAAGAAGTCTTTCCTGACCCACAAAGGAGACTAGCCTTCCTCTTCAGAGCTCTCTTAGTTTCCTGTACTTTTCTTTCATAGCCCTGGACTCAGTTTGTAACTATGCATTTGTTAGATTGCTTTCGGTTTATAAATTAGGTTGTGTATTCCATGAGGGCAGGGACCATGTTTGTTGTTCTTCATTGTATCCCCAACACCTACCACAGTGTCTGATGCATATTTGATGAATAAATAAATGAAGAAAAGAAGAAGAAAGATGGTAATTGTAAAGAGGATAGATTCCAGAAATGTTTAAGAAATTGTGTAGGTAGGTTGATGTGAAAATAAAGTGTAAAGATTAGAAGATGACTTTTAGACTCTGACTTGAGAGTCAGATAGGAATTACAGCAAGAGAATTAGACTCACAGGGAAATACTAAGCTTGGTTTTGGGTTTAACTTGATTAGCCAATGGTATTTCTATATGAAAATACCAATTGGGCAGAATAGATAGGTCTAGTTTTCAGACTTTTTGATCTGTTGCACCTGGGGTATTAATGTGTCCAACAGGAGATGATATAAAGTTTTGTTCCAAAGGTGTAAGAGAGAGGGAGATTTCAATCTAGATCTCTCCCCTGAGAAGAATATGTTTAGGAAGAATGTATTGGCCTGTAGCAAGCCCACAGACATTTCTTATGTCTCAAGTGGCCTACAGGCCAGAAGACAATCTTCCCAATGCCTGGAGTTTTGGAGAGCAACAAAATGTCTTATGTGCATTTACTCATACTACAGAAGGGATCATAGTTTGAGTTGGGCGTAAACCTAAATTCCTCAGAGAATCTGCCACCTCAATTCTAGGAAGCATATTTCTACATTCTTGAAAGGAAATAAGGTTATTGATCTGACTGATTTGGTAAATTGGTGCACAATTTTTTTGTGTGTGTTATGTTCTGTGGACAGATGTATCTTTTTTCCCTGACTGCTCTTTGAGCTGTTTTAAACCTATCATCTCTTAATTAGAGCCACTTTCTTGAGAATGACAGAACCAAATGGAACAGGAAAATGGATTGCACTAATTAAACTTTTAGTTAATAAAAATTGTTTTAGAAGTATTTAAAGGAAACCAAGAGGAACTTCTATTTTCTGGCTTAGCCTACAATAATATATTGATTATTTTTGAAAATTCTAGTTGCAGAATCTTATCCTGGAATACACAGATACAGCAACAGCACTTTTATATGAGATACTTCTTGTCTTTCAGCAGGTACACATTTTATATATCTTCTGTGATTATACATATTATGATTAATAATATGCCCAAAATGCTTATTTAGAGATAATTTCCCAAACTGGTTGATTTACATGATACTACCTTTGCTCTTAAGTGCTCATCTACTATGTTTAACAAATACCAATTTTAAAGATTTTATTAATCAGGATAAAAATGTATTTGAGGATGAGTATCTTTTTATATACGACCTGAATTTCATAACTTATTTCCTTGAGTTTTTAGGGAAACCTTGGATTGGGATCTACAAAGTTTGCTATTAGCTGGATGATGTCCTTTCTTCAAAGTTGTCCTCCTATAGTAAGTACCTAGAAGTAGTCACTGTTCAGGCCTAGCTAAACAGAAACTATTTTTTTTTTTTACTAATTAAACACAAGTTTTCTCTATGACATGATCTAGCTTACAAAACTGAAGTAATATATAAATTTGATAATTTTATTATTTAATTAAAATTAAATGGTTCTACATTTGAGATCTGATTTATTAAGGCACTGAAATGATGTTTTAGATATGATCCTTACTTTATGAAGAACTCTTAAGATAAAAATATAAGATATTAAATTATTGGCTGTATAATTAAGTAAAAATGATTAATCTTCACCTTTAACATCGAGTATGAATATAACAATGGGAATCACCTGTGCACTCTGTGCTGGCAGTCACCATTCTGGCCCAAGATTGGTGACATTATACATTATTGGTGACATTATACCAATATACATATTGGTGACATAATATGTATAATGTCACCAATCTTCTTTTTTGACACTACATTCCCAAATAAATGGCTTAACTTTGTCTTCCCACCAGATTATAGCCAGAGGGAGCTATTTGAAATAAAAATCTGATTGTCATTCCTTACTTTAAATCTCTTAGCAGTTCTTCTCTAAATAAAGGCTAGACTCCTTAAAATGGCCTTCAAGGCCTTGTGAGCTCTGGCTCTATAGCCTCATCTGGTCCCTTACTCACCCAGCTATGTGGGGGCTCTTATTCACTCCCACCCTGCTTCCCCCACTGACTTCATCACAGGACCTATCATTTCCCTCCATCTCTGTCTTAGTCTATTTTGTGTGGCTATAACAAACTAACACAGACTGGGTAATTTATAAAGAACAGATATTTATTTCACTCATGGTTCTGCAGACTGGGAAGGCCAAGATTGAGGGGCTGCATCTTGTGAGGGCCTTCTTATTACATTGTCCCATGGGTGAAGGTGAAGTGGAGTAGAGGAGTGAACTCACTTTTGTATCACACTCACTCTTGCAATATCAACCCCACTCCAGTGGGCATCCCTGTCCAATAACAACATTTATCTACCTCACTACACTGTTGCATTAGGGATTGAGTTTTGTAACACATGAACACGGGGCACAAATTCAAGCCACAGCAATCTTGCTGTCCGAAGTGCTTATCCCTCTTTCCCACCTAGTTGACCACTTCTCATCTTTCAGGCCTCACTGCCCTTTCCTGTAGGGAAGCAGAGGATGATTTTCTGACCCTCTGACTAGGTTAGGCTTTCCCTACACAGGCACACACAGTGCACAGCAGGGTCTTCTTCATTGAAATTGTCACTGCTACAGATAATATTTGTGCTGTTATATGGTTCTGCCCTGTAATAGCCATTAGTGGCACATTCTGGCTCTCTCTCCTAGGCACATGGTACAATTCTACATCCCTCTGCACTTGAAATTAGATGGGTCTCTGTTACTTTGGCAAATGAAATGTGAGCCCAAGTAACCTGTCACTTCTGGGCAGAAGCTGTAAGAGCCAGGGCATTCTTTTTCCTTCTGGCATGGTGACTGGCAATGTTCCACATGTTGATTGCTCCACCAGCTGATGACCCTGATGAACAGGGCCCCCAATAATACAAGAGGGACATACAGTGTAAAGTAATAAACTTTTGCTGTTTTATGGAAAGCATTGGTAGTTTTAGAGGTTTGTTACCATAACATTACCTACTTCATCGTTACTGATATAATGTTTTTTTTTTCTCTCCATAGATTTCAAGTGTCACAAGGGTGGGAGCTATATCTGTTGTGTTAGGCACATAATAAATGTTGAATAAAATATCTACTTCATTGATTCTAATAAAGACTCTATCCCTTAATCTATTCTCACTCTCCTAGTTTCCCTTTATTCATTCATACATAATTCATTTAATTGGAAATCTCGTTCAAAAGCAAGTATTCCTAACTTAATTTTCATTGCTAATAGAGGACTTAACACAAGGTAATTGTTATCTTCCCATATATGAACATGCCTCTGGGGACCAACAGTGTTTCCCTGCTTTGAGCTGTTTTTCCAGAGCAATGTTGAATCTGCCCCATGGAATCTAGATTCTCTTGTCAGATTCCTATGACATATGTTTACAAAAAGCTGGCTGGGGCCAAACACTTGTAAGCTGAGCAACAAACTGCCTTATACAAAGACCGAGCCCCTGGTCTTGGCTACTTCAGCAGTGCACAGACCCCAACCAGTTTTAGGCCCACTTAGGAGTGCCATAATTTTTACTGTTAACAACAGAAGGCCAAATGTACAAGATGCAAGACCCCTTTTTGTGCAGTGGTTGTAGGCCCTGTCATCTAAACTGAGGGGTAAAAATATGGGGTCTGCAAGATTCCAAACAATAGGGAAGCTCCTTTGTCAACCTCTAGAGTTGGTTCTCCAAAGGAATTGAACTAAGTATAACGCCATGCTATAATCATAAAGCATGTCAAAATGAAGGGTGGCAAAAGCCAAAGGGATCACTAACACCATAAAAAGCATCAACATTAACCCAATTCTAAACAGCATGGGTAGAAACAGTCCATTTGAGAGAAATCTGCAAGCAAAGAGACCAACGTACCACCTCCATATCAATCAGCTCTGATTATCTTATTTGGTTAAAACAAGTGCTGAAGAACTTCAAAACTTAATCCCCAGTCAGTATGACTTGGTGCTGAGTACCATTTCAATGAGAAATAGTACAGAGGTGTTGGTGCAAGTGTGGTGAGGACTTCAACCTAGACTTGTAAATGACACTCCAGCTGAAATAGGAACTCTTGTGGGTTGAATGTAGCCTATATGTAATGGCATTTTCCTTGTCTAGGTTACCTTTGTGGCCAGTATTGTGAAACAAGTAGTGAAGGGGCTTTCAGCTTCATTGCAACTGCTAAGTCCCTTCCAAGCAGTTCTGTTGTACCAGCAGTTTTACATCCTCAAGAGCTGCCTGCAATACAGCAAGACTCTAGCTGAGTATATCAGGAATGACTACAGCGAAGAATTTAGGTAAGGGGAAAAAAAAATCTGCATCTAATCTGCAATATGACCACTCTTTTCTGATTTTCTTACAAACCTGCAACATGGCCCAATGTTTAGGTTATGTGATGACAAAAAATATATATTTTTGTCTTTAATAATATTGCACTTTGATCAGAGGAAAGAAAGTATTTGGGGGGCAGGGGATGTGGCTCAAGCGGTAGCGCGCTCGCCTGGCATGCGTGCGGCCCAGGTTCGATCCTCAGCACCACATACAAACGAAGATGTTGTGTCTGCAAAAAACTAAAAAATAAATATTAAAATTCTCTCTCTCTCTCTCTAAAAAAAAGAAAGAAAGAAAGAAAGAAAGAATTTGGGGGAGAATTCAAAGAATTTTGCCGTTCAAAATATATTCCAGGTCAGAAAATACTAGTGAAACATCAAACTCTCTTTGGAGGATTGTTTCTCACTCTTTGTCTTTCTTGAAGCTGGCCTGTCACATTAGTAATGATTGTAACCTGCTGTGAGTAATTAAGAGTAACAAACCCTAAGGAAGGGAATGGTAAATTATGGACTGTGAATTCAATTGAGTCATTAAAAAATCAATAGATAATGGAGGAACAATTAATGAACGGTGTTAACGAGGTTTTTTTTTTTTTCTTTTTTGTCTCATTTATCCTTCCCTTCTCTTACTCAGAAAGGGAACAGTAAGAAAGAGCAGTAGCCAGCATTGGTTTCATCAGCCAGCTTGTTCTCTTGCACCTCAGGGGTTCCACTTCTATTTATAGGCTGGCAAAGCCACAGCCTGCATTAGCACCTATTAAGGAAAAAACCCAGGTTGTGTCTGCCTTAAGATGAAAGAGTGCAGCTGGCATAGCTTTGTTACTAGTTTGGATGGAGCTAGATAAGGCTGTGGAGACATCCATTATGGCCTAAGATTGACTTCACAAAAATTTGGCCCCATTTGTAAGGTCTGTTTTTCCTCATACACCATAGGGTTCATTATGGCTCCCATAAAGAGGATTCATTTGACTCTGGGTTTGTCCAACAACCCAGTCCCCACCCCCTACTCCTGTCTCCTCATATCTTTTTTCCTTTTTATTAAGGAAAATTCACGTAGCATAAAATTCACCATTTAAAATTGTATAGTCCACTGTCTTTTTAATATATTCCACAATGTTTTGCAACCGTTGCTATTACTAAATTTAGGTTTGTGATCCTTGTTTTAACCTAGGATTTTTCAACTTGCTTTGCATTAGAATCTCCTTAGTAACCATTGACAATACTGTTACCCAGGTCTGGTCTCCCACCTCGAAAGTCTGAGTTTTCTGAGCTGGGGTCTGGGCACTGAGAGTTTATAAAGCTCTCCAGGTGATTTTAATGTACACTTGGAGTTGAAAACCATTTTGTAAGCCATCCAAGGGGAGGCTTTCTCACTTTTGTCTCTTTCACAGCTTTCCTATACTGAGCTTGTGGGATAAACCCTCTCTTTCCTCTTGACTTTGCCCTAGCAGTCTCCACAGCTTGGCACTTCCATTTCAACTCCCCATTGTGCATTGCCTGAGAAACCACAGGAGCCTCAACTCATCCTTTGGCTTCCTTATTAATGCCTTGATAACTGATACATTATTAATGAAATTCACTTCCTTTGCTTAAGTAAAGTGCTTCAGTGAGCTGAAAGGTCCACATATCAAGAGATTTTCTAGGTCATAAATGGGGGAGGTTGGGAGGCTTTAAATGTTGACTGAATCTTGTGGCTCAGACTCACACACCCACAATCCTGCACCACTTAGTGTGAATGTGACCAGTATGAAATTCGTGTTCTTAAAGATCTCTCTTTTGTTTCTCTTTGTGATTTTCAGGTACTTTATTCATATGCCAGCCTTGGAAAAGAAGCTCCCATTGTGTTACCCTATTACTCAGCCAACCACTCAACTTTTTCATGAAATTCTCAAATTGGTTGAACAGAAACAATATGTAAAATGTTAATAAGAATATAAAATGTTAATTGGGAGTGGAAATCTATGAAAAAATTATTTATTTATTTATTTATTTATTTAATTCATCTTGAGTTCTATAAACAAAGATTTTATCTAAATGTTACATCAATACCTATGATGTTTCATCAATACCTAAGAGGTCCTTGAAGTTTATCTGCTAAAAACAAACAAACAACAACAAAAAACCCTGTAAGAATGGTGCTAAAAACTAGCGTTTCTCCAGAAAGAAAAGTTTCTACAGACACAAAAAACTAAAAAGGGAACAGAAGCTCAAGGAGAATAATTGGTGTGAAGCCATTAAAATATATAATGAAAAATTGTTGTACAGAGTATAAACTACAGAGTCATCAATAGAGAAATGTTGAGCAATAGGATGACACCCTACTTTTCCACCTTTAAAAACTAGTGGCAAAAGTATTTTTGGAAGAATGAGCAGGAGAAACACAGGCACAGCTGAACAGAATGTCAGCTCCTCATTTGTCAAGGATAAAGAAGCCTGGACTTTCTTTTCTTTTTTTTGAACTCAGGGACTCAGGGGCACCCAGCCACTGAGCCACATCCCCAGCCCTATTTTGTATTTTTTTAGAGACAGGGTCTCACTGAGTTGCTTAGGGCCTTGCTTTTGCTGAGGCTGGCACTTGTGATCCTCCCACTTCAGCCTATGAGCTGCTGGGATTACAGGAGTGCACCACCGTGCCCGGCACGAAGCATAGACTTTCGTGAACAAAACCAAATGCTTTATATACAGAGTTGCCATGAATGGATAATTATGAATTTAATGCATTCCACTATTGTCATATATGTAAGAAATAAATAAAAATTAAAATTAAAAAAACCCAAAAAACCCAAATGCAGTTGGGTGCAGTGTCTCACGCCTGTAATCCCAGTGTTTCAGGAGGCTGAGGCAGGAGGATGAGTTCAAAGCCAGACTCAGCAAAAACGAGGTGCTAAGCAACTCAGTGAGACCCTGTCTCTAAATAAAATACAAAGTAGTGAAGCCAGAATTAGACAGGCAGTCAGTATAGATAGGTAAATCGAGTTAGGTCGGATTAAGGAGGCCAGTTTTGAGTGAGTCTGGGAAGTTGGAGACTGCCCCCTGAGGGATTGAAATGTTAATTCCTTCAGAGCCCTTCCTCACCCTTATCAAGAAACTGCCCCTGCTCCAACTTGTTGCCAAGGTAACCTGTCCCAGGAATTGCCCCTCCCTACAGGGAGCTCTAAGTGTGCTGGGGTTTGCACCATCCTGCCCTTCCCCCTTCAGCCCACCTGTTTCCCACCCTTGGGCCATCCTACCAAGCATTCCTGGGCCTAGTCATTTATGCGGGAAGGAGAAAGATAAGGGGGAAAAGGGAGGAGAACAAAGGAAGCATAGGACATCTAAAAAGGGTAGAACGCCTCGCTTCTGAGGATACCAGCTATGGCCCCCTTCTCCCTCCTGGAAGAAGTCTGTGTTACCCCATTTTTTAAAAAAAATCCTGCTTTATATGCTTGCCTCATTGTGCTTCTCTAATGTTCAAACTTCAACTTGCTGGAAGCAGAACTCGTCACCAATAACTGGCAGTGTCAGTAGGGCTGGGAATGTGGCTTAGTGGTTGAGTGCCCTTGAGTTCCATCCCTGGTACTCAAAATCCAAACACCAAAACAAACGAACAAAAAAATCCCACAAATGATTCTGCCACTCTACTTCAGGCACCTGTGGGTAATGTGAACAGTCCCATAGAGTCTCTGTGGAAGAGAAATTATTCATGAGCAGTGAAGGCTCTCCCACAACCATTTAAAAAAGAGATCTTTATTATTATTATGGCTATAAACTAATCCCACAAATACTTAACTTTGGTGTCATTGTGAGCTATGGAATTTTGACTTCTAAGAACTTAGGAACTGGGCCTTCTGTGAACTTATCATGATTTGAGGAAGGATAAGAGAAAAATCTACCTCCAAAGAAAGAGTTCCCAGCTGGGCATGGTGGTGCTTGCCTGGAATCCCAGCAGTTTGGGAGGCTAAGGCAGGAGGATTGGGAATTCAAAGCCAGCTTCAGAAATTTAGCAAGGCACTAAGCAACTCAGCAAGATCCTGTCTTTCAATTAAAAAAAAAAAATAAAAAAAAATATATATATAGATAGATAGATAGATAGATATAGATAATATTTGCATTATTACCAAATATATATATGCGTTATTTGCATTATTGCCATATATATATATGGCTGAGGATTGGCTCAGGTTCAATTCCCAGTACCCTACCCTGAAAAAAAAAAATTCCCAGCCATATTCACCTGTGTTGAATAATGTAATTATAGTTACAGTTTGTTGAGGACTTTCAGCAGATTCTTAATCACCATGTTCTGCAATATTTAAATAAACTATTTTGTAATTATAAATTTAGTATACAGAACATTTGTATTGGTTCTTATTGATTTTCCAAGGCCTTTCTTAGATTTAATATTTACATAGTTTACATACATTCTATGTAAAAATAGACCTGCTCTAAACCTGAGACTTTAGGTGAAAATTGTACATACACATATGCTGTTAGTTTTTAAAATGTCTATGTCTATGACAAGGATGAAATTTCTACATTGTTCTGCCTCTCAGAAGCGCCAGCTCTTAGCAGTGCCAACCACGGCCTGTCATCATGAGCACCCTGTAGACTGTACCTGCAGCTTCAGAAATGACTTAATCTGCCAGTAGCAAGGTTTCCCTCATTTATAAACCCTATGTGCTTGTATTGTTGTTAGGCCAGTATTTAATGCATAAAGGCAGAATTATTGTGAGATTTTTAAAAAATGCAAACATAAATGCAATCCTGACTTAAAACTAAAAGACTGGTATAATGTTACTTTTAAAAATAATACTTAGGACTCAGGATATAGCTCAGTTGGTGCTTGTCTTGCATGCACAAGGCCCTGGGTTCAATCCCCAGCACCACACACACACACACACACACACACACACACACGCACACTAATAATAATATTTAGACACAATGATAAAATTTTTATATATTGTTTTGTTTACAAATTATCTGTTAGCCTTGTTTCTATGAGATGTTTTTAATGTGACTTTTAAAAATGTCTTAGAAATGAAAGTTGCAGAAAGTAAGAGGAAAAAAATAGGATATCTTATTCCTGGTTCTAAGCCAAATACTGATTTTGCTTCAGGTTTTATTCTACTTCTTTCCAGGCCTTATCTACTTCTTTCTGGGCTTCCTTCTGTTAGGCGGAAGGGTGGGACTGGATGCTAAGTTCCCTTTCTCTGCCTGTAAGAAACAATTTTTTTGTTTTTAAAGAGAGAGAGAGAGAGACAGAGAGAATTTCTAAATATTTATTTATTTATTTTTAGTTTTTGGCGGACACAACATCTTTGTTTGTATGTGGTGCTGAGGATCGAACCTGAGCACGCTACCGCTTGAGCCACATCCCCAGCACATGAAACAATTTTTGACACTCTGAAATGGGATAGTGTGTTCCTCTGCCATCCTGGCTTAGTAGATGATTTCACACTGGTTCCAAATAATCCTGCTTTCTTTGTGTCACCAACATTGTCCCACAAAGTCTCCAGTCTTCTCACCATCACCCATTAAGGAATCCAAGTCATCCACTTTGGGAGCAAAATGAGCATTCTGGGCTGCTAGATGAGGGATTATTCCCAAGAGATGGTCAGTCAGAGGAGTGTGACGAGATTCTGAGGACACCAGCATACATCACTTGAAACTAGACAAATGGTATACTGATGAAACCCATAGGACAACACCAAGAGCATCAACAACTCAGTTACACTTTGTCTTCTGGAAATACCCTGGCTAGTAGGGTGCTTCTACCTGGGAAGGTAGTAGTGCAGGCTTTTTTTTTTTTCTTTTTTGTGCAAACTCTGATGGTAATAGTGCAGTCTCTGCTGAGGGCTTAGACTTTCTCATGTGCTGTCCTGCCTCTTCTGCAGCTCCTCTCCCACTGAAATCATACTTTGTCTAATTTCTGGGAGCCAAAGTTCTGTCAGAATGTACCTGAATCTTTCCATGTAGGGATAAAGTCATTGACTTTTTAAAGAGCTAATGGTTGGATTTGTCACCTTGATTTTCTTCAGTTTACTCTGTATGACTCATTTGACAGTCCCAGGAAGAGGAAGAAACAAGAAATTTTAACACTTTAAAAGGGTTATTCTTCCATAATTCTTTTATGCTTGTGAGTTTGTTTGCATTATTACCAAATGCAAGAAAAATCACCTAATAAACCATCTCTGTTGGTGATCAGACACATTTAATACTTTACCTAAACACTGGCCTCAAGCAAAAAACAAACTTGAATATTGAAATCACATAAATATATTTTTAAGAATACAAATGTCACCAGAAAGAGCCTAGTTTTTGAGCTGGTTTCAAGATTCTATATCCTTTGAACACCTTCATGATGTGAGTGCAGTCATTTACCACCCCTACTTACCCCAAAGACAATCATTTCTACCATTTTAGAAAGTATTTTTTTTATTTGCTCTTTTTAGATATACATGACAGTAGAGTGTATTTTGACATACATACATAGAAGTGTAACTTATTCTACTTAGGATCCCATTCTTGTGGTTATACATGATGTGGTGTTTTGCCAGAGTCCGGCTGGGCAAATAACCGGGAGGTGATAAGCAACTTGAAGGTTCAAGCAGGAACTACTTTATTGCGAGTGAACTCAGCGGCAACTGAGCGAGAACTCAAAGTAGTGGGCACCTAAGGTAGCAGGAGCTGCCTCTCTGCCGGACAGCAGAGGTATATATACCCAACTAATCACACACAGCTTGACTCAATTAACATCATCTAGATACAACAGTCAGCCAATAAAGAATCCTCATCATCTTAATGGCTTGCTGGCGTTGCTTCACAAACCAATCCTCCTGGCAAGCTGCCAGGCGCCATCTTGACTTGATTTGCATCCCCAACAGTGTTTAACTGGACATGTATTCAATATGAACATAGGAAAGTTCATTCCATTGTCTTTCCTATTCCCATCCCCCCCTCTTCCTTTCATCATTTTCTTTTGTCAAACTTCTGTCTCCCCCACCCAGCCCACATTGTCTGTTAGCAACCGCATATGAGAGAGAACATTTGTCCTTTGGTTTTTTGGGATTGGCTTATTTCACTTAGCATGATAGTCTCCAGTTATATCTGTTTACCAGCAAAAGTCATAAAGCCATTCTTTAAAAAAGTATTTTTGAAAGTACACACACATACACACTTTGTATGTACAATTTAAGAGTATTGATTTTGAAGCTAAAATGTATGAGTTTAAATCCCATCTCTACACTTGATTTGGACTTGGGAAGTTAATGACATCTCCAAACTTCAGTTAAAGCAGAATGTATACAACCTATTGCAAAGAGTTAGGAGACATAAATGAAAAGTTGTGGGTGAAGCATTAATTAGGGTCCCTCACATGTAGTAAGGACTCAGTAAATAGTACTTATTATTATTTTTGTACTGGGAATCGAACCCAGGGTTGCGATACCATTGAGCCACCCTTTTTTAATTTTTAGACAGGATCTTACTAAGTTGCTTAGGGCCTATGATAAGTTGCTGAGACTGGCTTTGAATTTATGATCCTTAGGCTCCCAAGCTGCTAGGATTACAGGCATGTGCCATTGAGCCTGGCTTAGTATTTATTATTATTATTAAAATAATACCAAAGGTGGCTGAGAATTTAGAGACTAATAAGTACGACCCTTTTGTGGGGCTACTCTAGAGACCAGCCACTACAATCCGAGAACTCCTGGCCTATATAGCATTGGAGAACAGATTCATTTGAATGTTAAAAATTCAACTTTGTATTAGTAGGAGTGTGATTTAACTGTCAATTTCTTCTGTTTAGTGGGACCATGTTGCAAAATAAAATATAAAAAGGACTAGGGATGTAGCTCAGTGCTAAAGTGACTCTGGGCTCAATCCCAGTACCCACCCCCCAAAAAAAAAAGTATTTTACATATTTTCATATTGAATCTTACTCCTTGCTAATGCTGCTTTTAATTGTGATAGGAAAACTTATGATTACATTAGCAAATGTGCTATAAAGCAGCTGATGAGAGTGATCAAGCTTGTTGACTGCTGATATGCTCCAATCATTAGTGTTCTATGTTTTTTCTGAGTCTAGAACCACTTGTTTTATATTTAACACATTTGCAGAATAGAGAGGTTCAATGATAAATATGGAAGAGAAGCTGGAAATTTTTTAAAGAATGTATTTGATGGGAATTTTTGAGGAAACGGAATAGTGATAAATAATTGTCTGATTTCTCAGTGTTCACTGTATTTACTTCTAAATGCAGTACAGACTTGTAAGGTCAACTTGAATTTGCCTCTCTATAGAAAGGAAAATGCAATTCTCCATCCAGTCAGCTCTTCTGTGTGTTTTGGATCTGAAGCTTTTCCCATTTGGGGGAGGCAGTGTGATTTGTTGGCTAGAAATCTGAGTACTGTAATTTTGTGGATAAGAATCCAAATGCTATGTAAGAACTTATTTTGAATATTGCCTACCCACTACTTCTCATAACTCTTTTAGGGACTCTGTATAATCAATTATGCAATAATAAAAGCCTATATTCAGCGTTTTATGAATATTAATTTTAATATAAACATCTAGTATTGTGGATAGTCTAAAGTAGGATGAAATATATGACATTGCCATTTTGCAGGTCCAATATTGTTGAAATCTGCAATCCCATATGGTTCAAATAGAAACCCCCTCAATAAATGGTAACTATTAAGTTAACAGAAACAATTACTTCCTGCCTTTGTATTTTATTGTATACAATTTATTCTAATTTCCCAGGTAACATAGCACTTTGCTATAACATTACTTATTCTTGCATAGATTTGGATAAACCACAAATCAAGTCAAATCATTTAATTATAAATTATTGCATAGGCATAATATACTTAAACATGTTCAAAACAGAATTCCTTTTATTAGTATGTATTAATTATACAGAAGAGTGAGTTTCATTGTGGCATATTTGTACCAAACAAGTCTGTTCTATTTACTCCACTGCTTAAGAGACACCTGAGAGATTTGTTTTCCCCATTTTATTCATTCTATAAATACAATCCATCTGAAGTGCTTACTAGCAATAGCTTCAAAATATATTCCTGATCTATTGATTTTCCATAATTTTGACAACCCCCTAGCTTAAATATCCAACAACTACTGTAATAGATTATTTAGTTACTGTGCTCTCACATCCTCGACCCCTACAATCCATTCTTTAAAATGGAAGTGATTTTAAAAAAAATTATTCTTAAGTTTTAGATGGACACAGTATCCTTATTTTACATTTATGTGGTGCTGAGGCTTGAACCCAGTGCCTTGTGTATGCTAGGTGAGCGCTCTACCACTGAGCCACAACTCCAGCCCTGGAAGTGATATTTTGAATTAGAGAATCAAAATTTCTACTAAAAACCTTTGTATTGGGCTGGTATATGGCTCAGTATACCCCTGGGTTCAATCCCTAGTACTGCAAAACCAAACCAAAACAACAACAACTAAAACCTTTGTATTGCTTTATACTACCCAGCATTAAAATCAAAGTCCTTACCCCTACAGGGGATTTATCCTGTTCCACACTGATGACCTACAAATGAATTTGGAAAGGGAATACATCTATTAGAAACTATAACCACCAGAGGGCACAGTTGTATTAGAAAGAGAAAAAAAGGCAAAATTATGATCTAACCATGGAATATTGATTTTTTTAAGTGTGAAAAAAAATAACACTGGATAAGGTAACCAGTAGTAACCATTTTACTATCTATATATAGTAAAATATACACATATATTTGTAGTAACTATTTTACTATATATACATATTATACACATATATATATTTACTATATACGTAGTTTATCTTATATATACCATATATATGTCTTATAACATCATGTTGTTTATCTTAAATATATGCAATAAAAATTTAAAAATTTAGCTTAAACCTCCAACAACTGATTTACCCTCAATGTTTTATGTATATACTATTTTTTTTGAGAGAGAGAGAATTTTTTTTTAATATTTATTTTTCAGTTTTCGGTGGACACAACATCTTTATTTTATTTTTATGTGGTGCTGAGGATCGAACCCAGCGCCCCTCGCATGTCAGGCAAGCACTTTACCGCTTGAGCCACATCCCCAGCCCCATGTATATACTATTTTAAACTATATGCACCTTGTCATACACCAGAACTATTCACCAGTCTATTCATATGACTGAAACCATTTATCCACTGAATAGTAACTAATTTCCCCACTCCCTGGCATTCTTATTCTACTTTTTGCTTCTGAGTTTTGACTATATTAGAAAATATAAGTGGAATCCTGTAATATTTGTTTCTTTCTTTTTTTTTTTTTTTTTTTGACTGACTTACTTTATTGTCTTAGAAATCTATGTTGGAGCATGTAACAGAAATTTCTTCTCTTTTAAGCTGAATAATATTTCATTGTATTTGCATACCACATTTAAAAAATTTACTCATTTATTCATGGACATTCAGATGTTTCTACCTCTTCACTACTGTAGACAATGCTGCAGTGAACATGAGAATACAAATATCCTCTCAAAACCCCTTTGTAATTCTTTTGGATTCATACCCAGAAGTGGTATTGTTGGGTCATATGGTAGTTCAACTTTTTTGAGAAATCTCCATATTATTTTCTATAATAATTACAACATTATGTCATTTTGACAAATGCCATGTTAGCAGTATGAGGTGACATCTTATTATGATTTTTATATGTTCCTAATGATTAGTGATGTTGGGCATCTTTTCAGATACCTCTTGGTCATTTGTATTGTTTGGGAAAATGTCTATTTAGGTCTTTTGTTCATTTTGATTTGTTTTTGTTTTTGTTTTTACTTTTGAATTGTGCTTTTTTTTTTTCTTGTATTATCTCTCCCATTCAATGGTTGCCTTTCCATTTTAGTGTTTTGTTGTGTGGAAGCTTTTTAGTTTGATGTCCTTTCACTTTTCTATTGTTGCATTTGTTGCCAATGTTTTTAATGTCATATTAACATTGATTCTTAAAATTCAAACAAACCTTTAAAATTATTTTTCTCTCATTCTCTTTAATATGTGCTAACAAATCTAGGTGTAAGAAAACTCCTATGCTATTATAAAAACACAAATTTATAATCTAAGTTTATACAATTAAATGCAATTTAATATCAGTGTAACAAATGATGTGTTGCCCAAACCGTTTCTTGTAAAGTGAATATGACAGAATGCTGTAATATGGATTCCTGAATTCAGCATCCTACTATCATGTTGCACTTTTTCAGACCACTACAAGTCTTTATATTGACTCTTTTACACCCTAACATTTCACTGTGAGTTACTGTCACCTCTGTTCTCTGACCAGGGACAATCAAAGTTTTCCCATGTAAGGATAAACAACAGACCAATGTAAACAATGCAAACAGAGATACTTAAATCACAGGCATTTCATTGTGATTTAAACAAAAGTTTAAATTTTCCAGAAAAACCTCACAGACTTTTAAATTGAAATGTATAGACCTTAAAAAAAATTAAAAAAAAAGAAATGTATAGACCTTAATTTGAGAGGCTTTAGCCATAGAAGATAAGAGCCCAAGTGTTTTACGTATGTTGACCTATCAAACGTCATGGATTGCCTTTGTGGGCACTGGTTTATGCCTCCCCCAACACTTCCTTTCAATCAGAAGTGTACTGATTTGGGTGATAAAGTATAAAGTTATATACTCTGTTTATAAGCCAGTCCAGTCCTAGGAATTTTCCTTTTTTTTTTTTCTTTTTATGACAGAGACTTGCTAAGGTTGGCCTTGAACCCTTCTGCCTTAGCTTCCTGAGTAGCTGGAATTACCCAGCTGACCTAGGGTTATAATCAGGAAAAACCTGTGTCATAGCAATAGGAAATAAGAAACAGAATAAAATGTCATTTATAGAAGTTTCACAGACCTCCCTCAGGAAGCATACCTATTCCAAACTGAGAGGTGCTTCGGAGGTCAATACAAACAGAAATATTGTTCTGATTTCCTTTTGTGACTCAGAGACTTAAATGGTTCCCTCTACTCCATGTGTCTCCAAAACACCCTTCAAAAATTCAGGCTATAAATAAGAAAATATAGTAAAAGTTTTATTATAATTAGGTTCCTCTAATATCTGAGGTCATTTTAGGGTAGGAGGAGAAAGACTTCTGAAAGGGTCACATTTACTGAGAAAAATTAGAATATAGTACAGCAGTTTTGTAACCATATGATATAATTTGGCTGACATTGTGGCTAGGGGTTGCTACATAACAAAATGACTCTTCAATGCCAAGTCTCAAGACTAAATTCAGTTGCCAACATGACTTCAGATGTCTCAGTGTGAACAATAATGAGAAAATGGCATGAAATAGTGATTTTTAAGGAGACTGAGAAAGATTTCTCTAAAAAATATATAAAGCATTTGAGAAAAACTATGTGTGGGTGTGTATCTGTGTGTGGGTGTGTGAACTGGACCAAATCCAAGAATCCAAGTGGTTCACAAACTGAAATATGCTGACACTGGTTTGTTGGAGCAAAAGTAACGTAAGCATTCTGGCAATCTTGAGTCCTCATTCCTTCAGAGGATGACTATTATTAGTATTATTTTGTATTTATCAAGCTCCAAACTGGGGCAACTTGTCATAATGGGAAGGGAAGAAAGAGGGGGAAATGCGCCATCTGTCCCTGGCACTGGCATTCAGTTCATGGAAAATATTTAAAAGTTGTCAGTCAGAAGGTTTGGGAAGTTTCATATGATTTTAAAAGGTCTTACTGCCCTAGAAAGAAATCAATTCAATTTAATAAACATCTATTCTGACTTTGTTGGATGCTTGCAGGATACAAAAATAAATAAAACTGGGTCTGTTGGCAAGGATTTGCATTTTAGTAAGCTAAATTTTTCTATGTGCAGTTACTTGAGCACAACCTTCAAAATTTTTGTCATATCTTCTGAATTCTTTTTACTCAATATTTTTTAATATTATTTGCTCAATATTTTTCCAATATCTATATCTACTTTATGATTTTCCTAAAACGTATTTGGGAAATAACAGAATTGATGTTTTAGAAATATATTTTTTAAGTACGTGTGTGTACATACTTCCAATATACATGAATAAATAAAAACAATTAAAAACATTTAAATGTCTTTCCTTGGATTATCTAAAATTATTTTTGTACCACTCTATGGGAATGATCATGGTAATGAAATCTGAGTTGGAGGTTAAACTAGATTCTCCACTTCTGCTGGTGGATGGGGTCTGTATAAGCTGTAGGCCTCTATAGCTGAGAAATATGTTGCAGCTCTTAATGACAAGCTATGCCCTCCAGTGTTATAGTAGACCACTCCCAATTTCTTCTTGGCTTGCAAATTTGAAAAATGAGACCCACAGATGAGGATGAGTGAGTGTAAAAGTAAGATTTATTCAAGGGGGAATAGAAATATAATTCCCACAGGGCGAGAGGGGTCCCAAGAGAGGTTGCCCCTTGTGTGCTAGTCTAGAGTTTTATATAGTACTTGGGTCAACACTATTGGTCCAAATTTATGCTAATCAGGACTT